CTGATGTTTCAAAATATCTGACAATTGTGTGCTTTCCATCAGTCATCAGAAAATGTTGCTACTCTGTTGTTATTTTTGGTTTTCTGGTATATAATTTTGTATCAGTGAGCCTTGCTGATGTCATAGAAGCCAGCTGATGGCATCATCATGGGAGGTAGTATACGGATGCATCAATTTGTTCTTTGTGTCATTTTTCAGACATGTAGTATGCTATAATTAAATTTTCTGCAACAAAACTGACGCATGAGGTAGTGGCATACAGTAGCGTACCGTGGCCATTGGTGGTATTATTTGTACAATGAATAACCTCTACTGTATATTACCTGCATCACAATTCCAAAAATAAATTGTACTTGTATGTCGGCTTCATATTTAAAAAGAGCAGTTTTTCCATTTACAAATCTGTGTCTACACAACAAAAGCTAGCTTTACTTGTAGTCTATTTTCACACTCATTTTTACAGACATTATATACAACAATTAGAGAAACAACGCAATACAATGTTAGAGTCCAAGGCGTGTCTTGTTGAACAAAGCATGTTGTAATGAAACAGGAGAATGTGCTTTATATCTATTGTCTGAGGGTATGAAACCTGACAACGAGTCACCGTTTTGCGTGGTAAAGAGAGGTAGTGTGAATATGCTACGTGTGCTGCTTCAGTATGTGAGTTAGTAGATGGTCGTGTGGTCCATAGGAATTGTGTGTGCGCTCAGTATATGTCGACGGTAGTTGATGATGACATGCGTACAGTGTTGCATTTGGGTTGTGTGGTTTGGCGCAGGGAACTTTGTCTATATTTGTGTGAGTCGTACCCAGCACTAACCCCTGTTGTAGATAAGACCGGCTGTGACTGTCTACATTACATAGCTAGGTATACATCAGATGAAGTCATGTTCACAGAGTGTGTCAGATAATATCACATTGTTTTTAAATGGGTGTTTATGCTAGTGATTCATTATATCAGTGGATTACATAAGAGATTGTACCATGATGAACGACATTTGACTTTAACTCATTTTGTCAGGAAATCAATTGTATAACGCATGAGCAAGGACCGAGCAGAAGAAATATCAATACATATTTAAATGCCTACAGCTCCAGGACGTGTTGTGATTTAAATCTAATTTGTTACAAAAGATCCCTTTGTCAAGTGGTTTAAATATTGTATAAACAAAGGGCTAGGAGCATATGAATGGGACTGTCAAGGGATAAATGAAGATTAAGAAAGAAGAGACTACCTTGTTCAAGCTAAAGATCCCTTCGGCCCAGAGGACTTGAAATTAATATAAAGAATTATGGCCAAACCTTGAGCAAAGAGACTAGGATATATACCATTGTTCTTCAACCACTCTCATTTACGTTTTTGCCTAATTACTGTTTATTGTAGTCTTTTGTGCCGTTTCAGCATATTCAAAACAAAATATTACTTTTGAGTTAACGAATGTAAAGGGTGAAGCGTGTAGTTGTTGTGGGTAAAAGAATATGGCTTTTTCATTTTAATTGTAAAGAGATTATCTGAAAATGATGAACGATAACTAAAATATTTTGTTATCTTTAGAAGGTCCAATCGAGTTTATGTCATTGTGCGGCGCCCATCGTTCGTCTATCTTTTTTGTTTAAATGACTTTTTCTGAACAAATTATAAGCTCTTGACCGAAGGGCTATTCCATTTGTTTAATCGATTCACCTTGGCCCATTGTCAAGGTCATTATATGGTCAATTGAATGCTAGGGTGGTGAAGGGTGATAGTGTGGATTTTTAAAGAACGTACATTAACCACTTCTGGTTAACCAAAAGACCTAAGGTGATGATATTTGGCCAGTAATATGCTGGGGCGAAGGGCTATAACATTTGTAAGTTTGCTCAAACGAGTCACCTTGACCTACTTTTAAGGCCACATGAGTCGAATTTGTTTCAACCTATAAACGAAGTATTCTGAAAACTCAAGAGCTCTTCAGCGACAATATTTACAGTGTAACACGATGAGATGAAGGATCATGCTGAAAACAGATTACCTTTAAATATGTTATAACTTTTCAACGACTTCCTCCGAATTACAGAGAGTCCCGTAGACTTTTAAATTACTTCTTCTTAATAACGAGGAGGCATAGAGTAATGACAATGGGTCTGTAGCATTCTGAGATAAACAGTCGTAAAGTTCGAAATGCATGACCTTGATATTTCAAGGTCATAGGGGACAAACACATTCTAATATTTAATTTTTTCTTCCGAAAAACCAACTTGTATTAAGATTATGAAATTTTGTCAAGTTTTGATTGAGTTCCTTAAAATGTGTTTGACAAGTCCTGCTTGTAATTTGAATAAAATGTCCTTAAACCAGAAGGTGTAGAATTTAAAGTTAATCAGTTCGTAGCATGCTGAGGATAATGGAGAATCAAGTTTGTTTTTGTGAATTTGATTATTACATATCACAGCACTCCATATCAGGTAAGCAATTTTTATTTAATACTTGTCTGATCAATGGAATTTCTATGCATTTCACTGGGAATATTATTTTCGAATTAGATATGATTTACGTGTTATGTAATAAGGTCTATCAACTAAAGAGAAATAATATTGCACACCGAATTTTTGTTTAATATGAAAAAGGTTTTATATATATATAATGTTATAGCTTATATCTGAACATATCGGATAAAACAATACATGACAAGAAAACATATATAACTTTTTATAGACTGATTTTTTAAAATATATGTAAGTTTGTTTTTCATAGTTTCGATCATATATCAAACATTTATTAATTATATATGTTAACGAGTTATGACTATTTAGCTGCAATTATGAGCTTGACAATGTCGTCTGATATCGCTGAGCTGCATAATAAGAAAACATCCATACATTTTAATATCGAAATAGAAAAGATGAGTTTATGAGTAGTTGCAGTAACCGAAAATATCAACGATTGGTTTAAACTTAAAGAAGGTGTGAAAATCAACTATAAATGATTGCTTTGTTTACAATATGCTTTGGGAATCTTGCTTCTTTTATATGAAAGTCTAGATATTTTTTAAGATCATGCACTGCACACAGCAGGGCCATCCTGATATCAGCAAGGAAATTGCTGCTAATCTATCAAATATGTTTTTGCAGAGGTTAGTTAGTCAGTGGCTTGTCTTTATAAAGCATCACGATTAAACGGTATAAACCTAACACATGTATCGATTACTTTTATCACTTTACAGCATGATATAGTTAACATTTCATATCATCCATGTCTCCCCTACAAACTTTACTGTAAGGATCTTGACAGCAAGATTGGAGAGGTTGGACTTCTAACAGTGGCATCAAAAGACGTAGTTGATGTTTCAAATTGTAAAAGACACTCGGTAAATTTCGTGTCTTTGTACCATTTCAAAATTATCTAACTTGAGTTAGATTAGCATGATAAACAACCACGATTCGTTGGAGGACCTCTCTATAGAAAATTCTTACGTGACAGTAAAACTATAGACTGTATGATGTTTCTATAGTAACGACAGTATAGCAAATCGTTTGCGTAACAATACGAAAGTAGTCTTTGTTTTAATTTCTTCTTTGCTTCTATTGCGGTTGTGTCACGTTATTCGAGGCGGGAGGAAAAGTCTAAAAATAAGATGATCAAAAGGCGTTCACATTTCTATAACTGCAATATCATCTGGTGATGATAATAGACGAACATGCATTGGAAACGCAAATATACATAGTTACTTGTCACAGGTGATATAAATTAATAACTTTTGGTATACAAATGTTAATAAAAGGACTTGTTTTCGATAATAAGTATTGCATTGTTAACAGGTATGTTCATAAGTTTCAAAACCAGTAATACCATATCACCACCTGAACAAATTAGTGTTTATTTAAAAGTTATTAGGTCTCAAAGAACAGTTTATTTAAACACACACAATACGTCATTAAAATATATTGATCAGTGTATACAAACTAGCCATATAAAGTTGGTATAAATATGACGTCAGCGTTAACTAGGTGAGTAGGACTTTACGAGACCTGTTATCAGACTGGCACTGCAAAGAACATTTTAAAAAGCGACATTATAATGTTCCTTGTTTTACGGAGTTAATTCCCTTCCTTCACCCCTTTAACCTTTCCATGGTTACTGGCAAACATGTCACTGATAACGTCAGCACAGCACGGAAACATGGACGTTTCACATTTATTGTACATGTAACGCATCAGTACGAAATGGCAAACGTTCGACACTAAGGTTAGTAATGAGGAAAACATACGAATTGTGCTCTAATATCTTGCTAATTGTTTGGATAAATAGCATGCATACTATCACAACTGTACGTGTATACCAATAGTGTGATGATATACACATTATATAAACCTATGCCATGTCGTCAATCGCTTTGTTTACACTTAAATACCAAAGCGTTATTTATAGAGTTGTATAGTTTTTGTCCATTAACAAATATCGCGTCTCCTCAGTCCACGTAATCAATTTGCACTCAAATCGATCTTTTCACAATGACTGACTTTTTAACAGAGCCAAAACTTTGAGAAGTAATTAAAAATAATTCGGTTTCAATCATTTAGGAACACAAATATTATAACTAGGTGTACGAGAGGAAGTATGTAGTGATTTCAACCATGGCGTATGAAACTCAGTTTATGTGCAAAGTACTCTAAACTTATAAACATGTACATAAATGCACTCAGTTTAATTGTGTATCACCCATACAAACCTCTATCTATCATTACAACATTTGTATAATATGCACACCGCCACAAGGTCATATAGCCATTACTGCACTTATGCACTGCTATAAAAGATGATCTCGTAAACAGATAAAGATGTTTATCCCAAGTCGGTCACTTAAATCCAGACACTTTAAAGGTGTAGGTCATCGTTTTGTGACGGTTACCAAAATAATTATATATATATATATATAATGAAAGAGATTTATTGTCCACGTGAAGTAAGTAATGAAAGAAAAAATAATATTTATCAAACGATTAGAAAAATAGCTGCGTTCACCGTTCAGTGGGACCTGAAAAGCCCTGTGAAGAGTGAACGCAGCTAGTGTTCTAGTCGGTCGTTAAATATATATAGTATATACTGATATAGTATATCGTAATGTATATTATATTCTATCATACCTATATCAATTTTGTTTTTCATTTATAGCGGTATTAGATGAACACGTCTGTTTAATATATTTTCAATCATAACCATAAAGTACGCACATGTGTGGATTGTACATGTATTTGATACTATACATATCCACGAGAAACATTTCTTATAACAATATGTGAATATCAAACCTAACATATGAGTAATGTTTACTATAGGATACTGTCACAAATAAAATGAATAGATAATATTTCATATAAGGTTTATCTCAACGAGTACACCTATAACTTTTATAGATTGATATTTTACAATATATGGAAGTTTGTTTTTCATAGTTTCGATCATATATCAAACATTTATTTAATTGTATATTTACGAGTTATGGCTATTTAGCTGCAATTGTGAGCTGAAACATGTCGTCTGATATCTCTGAGCTGCATAATAAGAAAACGTTCGTACATTTTAATATCGAAGGAGAAAAGATGAGTTTATGAGTAGTCACAGTAACCGGAAATATCAACGATTGGTTTAAACTTAAAGAAGGTTTGAAAATCAACTATGACTGATTGTTTTGTTTACAATACGCTTTGGGAATCTTGCTTTTTTATATTATAGGCTAGATGATTTGTTTTATTTTAGCTCATGTACTGCACACAGCAGGGCCATCCTGATATCAGCAAGGACATTGCTGCTGATCTATCAAATATGTTTTGCAGAGGTTAGTTAGTCAGCGGCTTTCCTTTATATAGAATCACGATAAAACGGTCTATAAACCCAACACATGTATCGATTATTTTTATATCTAATATTTGATACCATCCATGTCTCCCCTACTGTTACTGTAACAACCTTGACAGCCAGATTGGAGAGCTTGGACAGAGCTTAATTCTTATCTAGAACTGGCACCAAAACAACGTAGTTAATGTTTTAAATCGTAAAAGAAACTCGACAAATCTCGTGTCTTTGTAACATTTGAAAATTATCTAACTTGAGTTAGATTAACATGATAAACAACCACGATTCGTTGGAGAACTTCTATATAGTAACTGTTTACGTGACAGTAAAACAATAGACTGTATGTTGTTTCCATAGTAACGACAGTATAGCAACTCGTTTGCGTAACAATACGAAATGTAGTCTTTGTTTTTATTTCTATAATAAAGATAGTATTACATGTTTTAATGATATTAATGTTGTTCATTACATTTATTTACACATTTACTTAAACAATCATTATTGATCTATATATTTTAATCGTGTCTGTATCGTCAGTGCAAACGATATTTCAGGAATGTCATCAGAATCTTTGTTTCTATTGCGGTTGTGTCACGTTATTCGAGGCGGGAGGAAAAGTCTAAAAATAACGCTGATCAAAAGGCGTTCATACTTCTATAACTACAATATCATCTGGTGATGCTAATAGACGAACATGAATTGGAAACGCAAATATGCATAGTTACTTGTCACAGGTGATATAAATTAATAACTTTTGGTATACAAATGTTAATAAAAGACTTGTTTTCGATAATAAGTATTGCATTGTTAACAGGAAATATGTTCATAAGTTTAAAAACCAGTAATACCATATCACCTAAACAAATTAGTGTGTATTTAGAAGTTGTTAAGTCTCAAGGAAAAGTTTTTTTAAACACACACAAAACGCCACTAAAATATATTGATCAGTGTATACAAACTAGCCATCTATATTTATAAATATGACGTCAGCGTTAACTAGGTGTGTAGGATTTTACGAGACCTGTTATCTGACTGGCACTGCAAAACCCTTCCTTCACCCCTTTAACCTTTCCAAGGTTACTGGCAAACATGTCACTGATCACGTCAGCACAGGACGAAAACATGGACATTTCACATTTTTTGTACATGTAACGCAACAGTATGAAAATACAAACGTTCGACACTAAGGTTAGTAATGAGGAAACATACTAATTGTGTTCTGATATCTTGCTAATTGTTTTGATAAATATTATGCATACTATCACAACTGTACGTGTGATGATATACACATTATATAAACCTATTATGATCAGATATATACTCAAGTTCATTGTAATACAGACATATTTCGTCGTAGTAAGTAAAATTAGTCAGTAGGAGATAGTTGCTTAGCAACATAACAACATACACCATACTGACTATGTACCGTGTGACCTTACAGAACTTAACATGTGTTCTTGATTATTTACAACTTGTCCATTAAACCCTAACCTAGTATGTCTCCATAATACTGTAACATTATACTTTTTGCAAATAAATTTCGCTTCTGAATCTGAAAACCATACATATGTTTCTGTGCTAGTATCTGCATCTCAACGGTTTTCACATGTCTTTCACTACACCTTTTTATTTCAATAATAGATGAAAGTATCATAGACGGTCTGGATAATTCTGTATTCAGGAAAAAAGTTTATGACCTCATATTCAACAGCATAATAGGCTAAAACAACGTTTTAGCTAAGGTGTAGTCATACAAAGGTGTACATAGTATATTTCCACGAGTTGTTTCCCTTAGAATTCAAAATGGATTATAATCATGAATATTTAGTTAAATATATGGTCATTCAAACACGCATCACAGTTTGCTGGTATGTGGTCTCTCTGTTCACTTTTAAATCAAATATCTAAAAGACTTGTGATAGAATTTGAATTGTGTATGTTTAGACATGTATATTATTTCACTTTTTATGTTACATATTGTTCCTTATAGTAGAACAATATGACCAAATCCATAATCTATTTTAATAGAATATTTCCATTTCTCTATTTCAATGAAATACTAGTCTACCATGGCATCAGCTTACCCCAGTTTGGGGTTTAAAGGTCTAGTGTGCCAGAAATCCAGGACAACTATCGTGTGTTCACACATTCAACCATAGAGATCCTGATTTAAGTCCACCTGTGGATAATGAACTAGTTATAGATTTGAGGATGGTTATCACAAAACATTTTTCCGGTTTCACCTAACAGATTACGAGGTAAGATAATAATTTAAAAAAAAGTCTTATATCAACCATCAGTTCGGCATAATAGTACACACAATTAAACAGTAGAATGTAGTAACTTCAACAAAGAGGTCTACGCCATTTGAGGTGTACCGATCCAGTAACAATGTTTGCTAGATAATGCCTTTCAATTGATAGCTATACAGTCAGACAAAACCGAATCACTCATGGAGTAGAAAACAGATACATTAAATGAAAGTGTTCAAAAACATTGTAATACAGGAAGTATATAGTGGGTTACAATTGAATCATTCTTACATATCTTACATATCCTGCCTGTAAAAATCATCGTATCACCAACATTATTCTTCAAACCTTTAAACAAATAGTGTACACACATGTATATTGATGTATTATTTCTTGTCTGATATATTATAGATATATGTAAGTTTATGTGTAAGATTTCGGTTATAATGTAATTGTTTTCTTACTACCTCACGAGTGAGGGCTATTTAATTACAAAATTATGGTGAAATAACAATATTGTATGATATCGATGAGCTTATAAAAGTTACCATTTATCGTGGATGTTATAAACAATCTGAGAAAAGATCAACTTTTCTTTTAACATATATAATGGCATCCGTAAAAATATTAAATAATACACATTCTATATTCCACCACATTCTGGTAAGTAACTGCGAGTCTTACCTTCATCAATGCCATTGTATCGCATTAAAATCCTTGAATGCATCGATTTCTTTTCCTAGCAAATGTGTTGTTAAGGTATGACAACAAATTAAATTAAGATAACTGATGAAAAGGATAAACTTTTACTTTTGATAGTTAATACGCTTAGAATTCTATCACGACAAGATGTGGAGCAATTGCGAAAAGGTCTTAATTTAATATACAAAGAAACCCCAAAAGACAAAAAAAAGTATACTATTATTTTAGGAGGTCTGATAGACAATTGACAATCATGAAATAAGAGGGGACATGTTAGCTTTTCAGGAAGTGCAGAGGACTTGAACAATAAACCATTTTTGTTCTATAAACAACACCAAAGATCGATAAAGTTTAAAAGTGCGAACGCCCAACACAGTACTGCAATTTTCAGAAGTCTGATAATGTAAAGATGTGTTCTCACATAAAAAGTATATACGTTTACTGCTCATCTTCTTTATATAACCCATTCCAGTTACAGTGACTTCTATTATGTTGTTAATCGCTTCAAAACCATACATGGCAAAAGCAACAAATCATCCGACAGTTTTTTTTATTATTTTTATCACGTATCATACCGTGAAGTCTGTGACCTTTCATAGAAAAAGGAATCTCATCCAGGCTAATGTCAGTGTAAACAATTTGTTATGGATCCATACTTTTACCCAGAACCAAAAAGATGAGTCCACAACAAAAAAATCAACTATATAGCAGAGCTGTAATGTCTTAAATAAGTATTCTTGATTAAATATCCCATGTCAGTTCAACCCTGACCTAGCATATCTCCATTATACGGATATATATTTAGTCGTCACATCATAAACATATCATTTACTTAAGGGTTATTGCTCTTAAAATAGAATTGACAATCTTTATGTATATGCGATTATATTAACATATACATCAGAACTTATCTGTTTTTGTTATCTCTCATTCACCTAAACACCAAATACCAAAAGCAGATATTTGATAGAAATCGATTAATATATGTGTATACTTGTATGATACTAGAAATTCTTTGTTTCATATTTATAATTGATAATAAGATGTGAACGAGGTGTTCATTTTACTATCAAAAAATATACCCTAATCCGGAATATTCTTTATTCTAACATAATATCTGTATCGCTCTTTTCCAGAGACATATTTCTATAGATTTAAGGTCTGATATGGCAGAGGCTTATCCCAGTCCGGAGTTCCGCTGTTTGTTGTGCCAGGAAATATACGAAAATCCAAGAGAGTTACCTTGTGGTCACACATTCTGCTCTCCGTGTCTGACTACTTATATCCAGGCTGAACACGTATGTGCCGATGAAGATCGTCATTACTTTCCGTGTCCTGTCTGTGATACTCCTATTGTCCCGCGTGACCCAAACATACACGTCAATACCTGGTGGACTTCATTCCCCATAAATCACCTGTTACTCAGCCATACAAAACAGATATCAGAAGACCAAATATGTGAAGCATGTCTGAGGGACTGGGAATCCAGTTCTGCCGAGGTCTGGTGTACTGACTGTGCTGAAATGTTGTGTAAAGATTGCAAAACTTACCATAAACGGAATAAAGTTTCTAGCAAACATAAACTTGTGCCCATTGACAGAGAGTCTTGTAGACTCAAAGGGATAATCGTCAACGATATTTGTCCGAATCACAAAACGAAGCGGTTAGATTTCTATTGTGTGAATCACGGATCACTTTGTTGCAGTGACTGTGTGTCCTTGACCCATAGAATGTGCAATAATTTAAAACAACTGGACGACCTCGTAGAGACAGCTACACCAGGACAGAATTACATCGAACGAGAATGGAAGGAAATACGAGAAGAATCAAAGAGAATGTTGGATGATGAAAATTCACAGATAAACAATGTAAACTCAACAGAAAAGGAAGTATCCGCTAAAATGACTCATGAGATACAACGGGCTAAAGACAAGCTTGATGACCTCAACGCGGCATTCCAGTCAGATCTCGCACACAAATGTAACTCGTACAGACAACAGATAAACTCTCGACTAAGATGTGTTAGCAAATTTAACACCAACGCTGAGAACTCGCATCTACTAATGTCGCGCTTGGAAACACAAGGATCTGATCGACAGACGTTTATCACAAGAGAGCAAACAAAGAATCAGTTGTCAGGACATTACCGTCGGATGGATCAAAACACCAAGGAACTGCCTAATACGTTTGACATTACACTGAAGATAGGACAAATCGTAGAGGCAATCATGAAAGTGACAACCGTTGGTGCTGTTGATGTGACTTCGACCATCTCACTGACGATACAGAATGCGAAAGCGTGTATCGGCTCTTTGCTTGAGACCATAATTTCAACGCCTTCACCTGCTACGTCTGTGGACCCTTCTTCAGGGTCTGATCTTACAGATTCCGTACAACGTATACTAGTCATTTCGCCTCCAACATCTACATTAGTGGATGTCTGGGAAGGTTCAGTATCTTGTGTTCAAACAGTACATAGTCATACGATAGAAGTGCCTGTAAAGCATTGGCTTTTTAGTGGAATTTTTACCGACAACAGACAACTACTTATCACAGATTGCCTTAACAATCGACTCTTATTGTTTGATGACAACTATTCCTTAGTCAAGGAATACAATGTTGATGGCAACCCAGTAGACGTCACACGTGGACGTGTTGCTAATGAAATATTTGTGAGTTTGCACGGGAACGAAATACTGAAGTGTACTCTACGGAATGGCCAACTGTCTGTGACCGAGAGGATCACGTGTCCACGTGGAACGTTAGGAATAGCAGTTCACGGAGATAACATCTACGCCGGTACTTATAAAAGTGTGGAGGTTTTGTCAATGGATGGAGAGGTTAATAGGTCAATAAGGAAAAGTGGAGGTGACCCGTGCCTTACTACATCTTCATCTAAGGCCAGAGTGTATCACAGAGATAACAATGACATTGTGTGTAGACGACTTGACAATGACGCAGAAGTTTACAGGTACAGCGATCCTGGTCTGAAGAGTCCTGTGGGTATCGGACTGGACCGGGATGAAAATGTATATGTCTGTGGAATGGACTCCCGCAATGTTTACCTGGTTTCACCTGATGGATCACGAGGGAAGGCACTGCTGACTAAGCTGACCTGTATCAAATATCCATTTGGTATCATAGTCCATCCCACTAAACAGGAGTTCGTAGTAACATCCGAGAATGACTCTGTTTCGTTCGAGGTGTACCGATTCAATATCAACGCTTAGATATTACAATAGTATGGATATACACGTATCTGAAACAATTTCAAAGAATGTTATATTGTCAAAAGGATTGGACAACAGGCTTATATATATATAATATTCAAACGTCATAAGATATTTAAATATCCATATTCGCATAGTTTGTATGTACCTAAGCAAAATGTGTTTAACATTTAACTGCAGTACTTCATTTCTCAAATGGTCATGACGATCAATAAAAAAGCGTTAATACTGATTTAATAATGGGTGTTTTAAAGGAACAAGCATGACCTCAGAGTCGATACAAAAATAAAACTGAGGAGATTCCACCACAACAACGTGATCACTACCGGCGCGGAAGTGTTACCGTAACACATGTGGGCGGAAGTGTTGCCGTAACACATGTGGGCGGAAGTGTTGCTGTAACACATGTGGGCGGAAGTGTTGCCGTAACACATGTGGCACCCGTTATTGTATCTGTAAACAAAGTAAGGACTACGCCAGTTCACCCTTTATCTTCTAGGGTTACTGACCATCTATGTTACCTAAATAGCCAGTGAAATATAAAGGGTCGAGGCGTATCTCGAACCTCCTATACAATTTGCTGACTTTATATAATAAATGACTATAATAAAGTCTTTCCTAATTAATTACCTTTAAATACGCTCGTCTATCAATATACTTTCTTCGAGTAAAGTCACTGGCGGACGACGACGTTTGGGATCAATGTTTCAAGCGGTTTACCTGTATTTCGAGGTTTAACCCTTAATAGGTATCACTCAACATACTTTGCACGACACATGGGATGCAGGTGCACAGCGAAATTTAACCCCGCGAATATGTACTGAATACGAAACAGCGAAATATTGACCCCACGAATTTAAAGCGCTATACAGTAGCTTAAACAACAAACTACTGAAATAGCGAAAAACATATTGCATTTCATTAACCTCAAGTTACGATTAGCGTCAGACAAGAAGATCCTTAGCTGCCATTTACATCGTTTAATTGTAACGTCATATCGAAGCCTTTCAAAATGTCTAACAGTTATTCATAGAATAAGAAAGGATCACAAAGTGAAATATAAAGGGTCGTGTCGTAACTCGAACCTCCTTTATAATTTCCTAACCCCTGTGGTTCATTGTGAAAAAACTGACTGTTTGTCTAACCTTATCAGTATAGCTGGGGGAAAACGTACCGAAGTACCAACAAAACATACTTCAACTTTATTTAAAAATTAGCGTCAAACAAGAAGATACTTTGCTGCTAATAGCATCGTTAAATGGTAACGTCATATCGAGGCCTTTCCTAATACATTACTGTCGTTTATGGAATATGAAAGAAATACGCAGCAGACGGCTCAGACATTACTTGGATTCACATATTCCGAATATCGTCGAGAAAGCAGAAGACGTTTATCCTTTCGGAACATTAGGTCTTGTTCTCCGTGGGTTTTTTCAATCCTATCAATGTAAAACTTTCCATTGTTCATATTTTGCCCTTGTTTTATCGATTTTGATTTCGAAGAATGCTTTTGTTCATACTTTGGTGTTCTCTTGTTTTTTAACAAGTCAGCCTCTTTATAGAGTGAATGTTCATAGATGGTTCCTATTCTTATTGCATGGTCTGATACTATCAGGGTTTTTGTAGAGAGATTTATTTGTATTGACCAATAACCTACGTATCCAGGGTTTTCTAGAAAGATTTGTTTTATTGACCAATTGACTACGTATACAGGGTTTTCTAAAGAGATTTGCTTTATTGACCAATAAACTACGTTTACAGGGTTTCCTACCTGATGTATTTCAGTCTGCGTTAACGAAACTTTAAGGTTGCTATCGGGTTATGATTTCCAACTTAGCAAATTCCCTACCTTCGACAGTCTAGATACCATTGTTTTACCTCCGGTTGTTACGAGATTTTATTTCCTTTTTGTCCTCTTAGTTTTTTGTGTTTTGTTTTGACTTTGAATACAGACTGTGCCCGTATGTGTTGGCGATGCGTCCCTGTCACAATATATTTTGTAAATAACAAGAGTGTTAAAATGTCTTATTTGTTGTTAGAATGTAAGCGGAATATCCCACTAACAAGGTAATTTCCGAGGAGACCAATATTTTATTTGAATTATCTTCCGCTGTAATTACCAATGGTCACTGTTATTTCTAACGAAAGAAGAAATTATTAAGTTCTATGTGTTTGAAATGTAATGAAGACATTGTTTTTGTTTAATCAACTGTGTTATTTGCTTACATAATTGAAATATAATTAGAAACATGACTATGCTTACTGTTTTTCAGATGTATATTCTAAACCGGGAAATTTTCGCCCAGTCAAACATTCGCCCTTTGCCTATGAAATCAATTTCGTCAAGTGTTAGTTTCGCCCTTCACATTTAAATACTATGCTTATTACAAGTTATTTTCGCTGTAATGATAAATTCGGTTTCATTAATTACGGAGGGCAAAAAAGGCGAAAATTAAACTGCAACGAAAATTTCACGGTATTCAGTAAGTTTAGTCTCATATCTAATATGTTTTCAGTGTCATAACACCTATTATATAAATTGTGTTATGAACTCTATTTGAATAAAATTAACCGGATCTGTGAAGGATTGTTACTGTTTCAATTATGACTACATTACTTCCATGCGCCACACACTTCCAATTGTAATGTGGAGTCTTCCGAGGGAACGACTATGGATTTATATACCGCCATAAAGTGCCGATCAATTTTAGAGAAGTTATTTTCATGAACATTTATAACAACTTAGCTACATTTTAGACAGAAACTTACATTCGTTTCCATTTCATATCAGTTTTATGAACTTGTCACCAATTTAATTGTAACTTGATAGAGGCTCCCTATTAAAAAGGCATCGTGCCATAAATATCAGTAGATGACATTGATTCATTTTGTATTTATCGTATCATATAACGAAGTATTACTGCATGTAATATTTCCGATAACCAACTTTCATATACAAAAGGTAACTCCCTAGAGTAAAAACCGAATCAAGCCTCATTCTATATATAGAACAAAATGCATGTGTAGTTTGAATTGATATAGGTGATACAGTTATACATGCATGCTTATTTCCTTTTTCATGTTTGTTTAAAAAACAAACAGCCAAGATGACTACAAGGATAAGTATTATGCCAACTCATATGATCGTTAGGAGTTTGAAAAGTGTATGGAAATTGTGACGTACACAATAACGTAAAAGTCCAGGATAGCATCGCTTCTGTACATGTACAACTTATTGTTATAGTCACAAACGCCTGAAAAATTAAACAAATGTCACAAACATTAATTTGGTACAATCGACAATATCACCAACCCGGTACATTCCCACAGTCATTGTAGTTGGAGGATCAACATGTCTTTGTTTGGAGCGATAGATGTAAGTTAAGTACTAGTCTCTTGTTTGCTAATATAAGGACAAGATCAATACGAAAAGAAAAAATAGGACAAAGGTGATATCAAAACAAAACGAAAAGCAAACTGGATATATAAATGGAGCTGACACCAGATGCTCCGAATTGAAAATGATTCCTGACCAGATGTGGCTTTCGACATGATGTCACGTATCAAATGAGGGGAAATGATTTATAATTAATGGTAAATTTTGATGTATCATCCATTTTGTTATAAAGTTGGGATGTCGCACGTAGAATTTCTCCATTTACGAATTCTCGCTCAAAACAAAGAGTACTGGCACGAAACAAAAAGTAAAGACAACGTAGAACCATATACGTATGCATTTCCTGCAAACACAAATACACACAAAGTGCACGTAAACAAACACATGGCATTGATCAATTTATATATATATATGTGTATATGTGTGTGTGTGTAATCATTTTATAAATGTACATGATTTTTATTAATAACGTATGTTTTTATTTGTATAGTTATACACGATTACAATTAATTATTTCTTGAGTTAATACAAATACATGTTGTTTCACTTGCAAAGTAGTATATGAATCGATATGAAATATGTATACTTCATATATAAATATGTTATCTATTTGTAAGGAATGCACCTGTATTGATAAAAGACAAAATGTTTCATTCACAAATAAGCGTAAATTTAGACGATTTCGTGTTATATATAGTTAATGCCTTTCCTATTTCTTAACCACTACCACCGAAAATAATTATCACACAATCAGGTTTGTTGATTGAAACAAAGAGACAAAGATTTAAGTGTACTGACTGTGTACAAGTTGGTGGTACAGCACAGCCGTCGCGAGTCTTAAAGTGGGTGTCTGACTTTACAGACGTGTATTGTCCACACTGCAGGAACACTTACCATCGGCATAGCTGAATGTGCGGTCTGTTTGAAGAAACAACATACGTAAAAGGACTTACGTAACTAACTATTTTACTATATGCTATTCTTTAGCTTTGGATAACTAGCTTTATTTTTTAAGTTCAACACTAGTGATAACTGTTCAGATTCATAGATATGCAGTATATGTCAGAACCTTCAGTTGTTGATAACCGGAAGCCGGTCGGGGATATTTCCCGCGAAAAACTTTGAAACTCAGAAATGGCGTGTGTTTTTGGTTGAAACGGAGATCATGCCCACGGAAGGAGAATACATTTTACGAACATATATGAGGTTTTTAAAAGAAAAAGTATCCATCTTTCCAACTAAGAATTTTGTCGTAGGTCAACTAGAAATGTTGTTTATAATGCAAGAAAATTAGGTGGGGTCGATTTTACGACATCAAGAGCTTTCCGCCCTTCTCGTATATATAATCATTGGGGAGTCATTTTTACCCAAATTCGATCTAAACCCCTAGAACATGTAAAATAACTCTGAACACTTTAATTTAGGTCCAAATATAGCTGTTACAAATTATCAGCTCCCTGTGAAAAATTACACCGAATCAACATATTTATACGATTTTTCACTCCATAATTTGAGTAGACGGCGAGATACCCATACATTAATATAGAAACTTGAATAACACACACTTGCGAGCTACATCTCCCGTTAAAAGATCAATATGATTTTCGTAAAATCGTAAATTTCTTTTTGTGTGCAGTTTTTTGTTTCCTTAATATACATTCGCCTCATCCTATGTTTTAAACTTTGTCAAAAGAGTACACGGCTATTTCAGCTTTTGACTACATACATCAACACTCTTGACACATCGCAGACAAAAGGTAGACCAGGGAGGTTTTACTGTTATTCTAATTGTTCACAATATCCCATTTAAACATCAAAATATATCACTTGTCCGCCAGACATATTGAGCTTCTCACTTTATTTTTTCCTCTTATAATTACGAAGTTGGAATTTTATCTTGTCGCAGAACAAGATTAATATCACTGCATCGTTCACAGCAAGAAAAAACAGAGACAGTTAAATGGCAAAAGGAGAAGTATGGTTAGATTTCCTAAAAAATAACGAAAATCTGTCATTTACATACATCTGAGGACAAAAAATATACATCGTACATTGAGCTTAAAATGTCAATACTTTCATGCTGATTACAAAACAAAACACAGAAACACGTGAAACAGTAAAATATTTCCGCTTGTTCAGTCTACTCAGCTGTAAATGAGTAATTGTTTGGGCAGTGATTGAATTGTAGAATGCTAGCTTTGAGCGCCGAAATGGCAGCACCGGCTGTATGCTCCCCAGGGAGTTGAGAAAGATATTGGCTGGTTGCAAAGGCCCTATAACCACAGATAATAATTTGTGAACCGCTTTGAGACAACCTACGAACTAGATTGTTATAAAGCGGTATATAAGAACCTCGAATTATTATTAAATTATTATTATTATACAACATCACTGTAAAGCATAAGAATCAAAGTACCCGAGGCAAAATGGATTCTGAGAACAGGTGCATACTTTGTACCATGTATACGGCAACTGTCAAGTAACATCAATTATGTTTGTAAAAAATGTCTACAGTGTACAGTAAAATCTCTTCAATTATGGCTGACACTGAAATCTGATATTTGGAAATAAGGTCGTGATAATGACCTCAAAATTGATGTGATATGGATTAAAGACTCCTCGGCGTATGAGTTAAAACGGATTAAAAGAGATTCAAGGCATCAACATTGATATGTAGACTCCAGCAGCAGCAGTGGCTGGCATGTAACTATCGTATTACAAGACGAGTCTGTTAGCAGGCTGACTTCATTTAAACACATACTTGGATGTTGTTTTACACTGTGCCCGACCCACACGCGTTATGGTGAGTACTCAAATGAATATGACGCTGTCATCCTGTTGCACTTGATCTTACAGTCCTTACACAACAGTACCTCATTCATTGTTAAACTGATCTACGATTCTCTGCTCATTTCACCACGAGCAGGTGACGAGGCATCCAGTGCACAATTTTCTCTCAGCGAAATGGCGGATAGTGTTTACGTATTGGTCGTTACAGCTGTACTCCATGGAACGTCCCTACTACCCGTACTTGGTAAGTTAGTTTTTGTCCCAGGAAGGTTGTGCACGTTTTAATTTCAAAACTAGTTCGTTTGCATTACCATTAGTTTAGTTTCACTTTATCTTCTACGTCTACTTTCACATGACATTTTTTATTTATTTGTCGAGTATGATCGGTCTTCAATACATCTAGGTTTAACGGCAACGACAGAGAGGGATTAAACAAAGCAGAGTTGCAGCGTATTTGTTTTGGTTTTATCAGTGTCCCCCTGAGGACAAATGGTAAACATTGAATATGCAGGGGCCCCATGAATCACTTCTGTAAGTTGCAACTAGACCATGTCTTATCTATGTCAGGGCAGTAAAAGTTTGTCACTTTAAATCATTGTGTCGTTATATAAACATGAGTTATATTCGATAATTCAGCCTTTTATATCATCTTTGTCTACAGTGGTACTCATGCCACTACGTTCAATATATCATGCTTATTATCTCTTGAACAGAGTTTAAAAATACTTGATCAGATGATACAAGTATCTATAATTTATCTCTATACAGAAATAGAATTTATGTTACAACTGAAAGTTTGACATGCTTACAAACAAATATATTACCATATGGATGCATTATATGGCAAACGTGACTATAATCACGTAGAAGAATATTGTTCTGGTTTAAACACTTTAAGAGAACACATACTTACTTGTAGTAGTAGTCTGTAAATGGAGTTAATGTGTTAATATGCATCAAACGAATCACTGAAGTAATAATTAATTAAGATGCAACATCAGGATTTGAAGATCCATGAAATAACTGACATGCCGTTATTTCTAAAACAGTTGAAACTGACTGACTCGTATTATTTGATAAACATTACCTTATCTTAAATTTGTAGCATTCGAATGTCTTATCAAATGAATATGATAGAAGACAGATTTGATCAAATAGAACGTTATCTGCACATACGAAACGTGATAACAGTCGACTTATTGTAGGTTCACTTACAATGTGTATGCAACCAATGACTCAGCAGAACAAGTTATTCAAATTAAAACGAGACAAGATAGTTTAGTGAAGAATGGGTATCGTATAGGTTGCTAAAGTCATTTCGTCAATCAATTTCATAATATTGACAAGATTTATGGTATAATTGTTGCTTTGAACAAAAAATTATATTTTACCTATCTATCGTAACTTTTAACAGACGCCAGTTCAATGAAAATTATCAAAACTAGAAATGTTTTACAATATCAAAAGTTTCTTCTGTAAATTACAGTTTATATCAAAACCAAAACATTGCATACGTCTGGCATCAAAGAACTCATTATTCGCCGAGAATTAAAAAAAACACGGATGGGAACTAAAAAGAAAAAAACTGCACTTGCTATTAAAATGTCTTGCGTGTAGACTAAAGTAAAAAGTTAACGCTCAGCTGATAAACATATTTATAAACATTTCCATCTCATAGCAACAGACTGAAGATAGGCACAACGCCAGATTTTAGTGGTGTTCTCACATGTGTGTGTCTCACCACACAGACGTTATTAAATGTGAATTATGTCTAATGTATTGTGGTCACAATGATTGACATTTTGGACTGATGGATCAAAGCCTTATTAGCTTAATCACTAAATTAACGCATATAGTTCACATTCAATATTGATTAAAAATAACGAAGCATAGCTATACGAGATCATGTTTGAATGTTAAACCATTAATCTAATGATACGAAAGATGCAAACGTTTGAATTGTTTACGAATATTCAAAAGAGCTGCATTTTGAATAATATCTTTACATTCTGTTAAGCTAACAAAGATTTGGACAGCCAGTCTTTAGTCATTTCATACGTGATGTAGAGTATCAGTGCGGGTTAGGCACTTCCGCTTGGTAACGAGTGGTATATATAAACCCTGTGTATACACTACGTATAAGCTAACTAGAATTAGTTATGCCAAGTCTAGTCACCTTTGTATATCTGTACAATCTCCTTTGTTACATTAACATATGTTTTGAAGCAGCATCATATCAGATGCATGATGGGAAATTAAACGTATGATATCATTTCACCTATAAGACAATGTGTTGATAACATGTACACCCTCTTTTTCACAAATATAAAAAAACGACCTGCATGCTAATCATATTGTGTAGATTTCTATGCCTTTACGATATAAATTAAAGCTATGTTTGTGTAGTTCGTTACTCAGCAACGACCTTTGTATAATTTTACAATGTATATAGGGCACGATATAAATGTTATATAATATCTTTATTGATTTACGTATTATATATAAATGTTAAAAATAACTAAAATGAATATGTCCGCCGGTGTTTTCAATGTAGTATCTCGATGTCCGACTTTGTGTATTATTAAGTGTCTTGTTGCAGGAATAATATTTCGTGAATCTAGTTAATTGTCCTTAATTTGTGATGACAAACTATGTAATATTTTAAGCGGGGCTTAGATAACAAATATCGGCTCTCACATTTTACCAAGAACTTTTAAGTCTAATTAATCTACCACATAAACATGTCATTGTAGATGTAAAAGGCGTAATGTTTAGGTACCGTTTATATCCTGACCACGCCTTCTACGACTATCTCAGGTTCAATTACATGAACCTAACTGAGTATAAAAACTCGAACCTTATTGATATGATACATTGGTAAACCATATGGTTGTTCATCCATTTGTATGCGGTCTGAAAACTCATAACGCAGTTTTTTCTCGGTATCTAGAAGGTGAGTCAGTCGGATGTAATATTGCGGGTCAAGTTCGAGCAGTTGGTTGCTGAAGTGTTAAAAACATGTTAAATGTATATAATATTGTGTTGCATATATATCTAGGAGAAATATGCACTTGTGATAATAGGTTGACAACACATGTGAGGCGATGTGATGTATGTAGGACTGTATTGCTGCAATAAATCTTCAATCTGTAACACAAATACATTATTAAGTTATGAATTATAATTTATAAAGATGTACATAAAAACCATATTTGTTATATATAATCGTAGTTATTTTATAACATATGTAAAGCTCCTTTACAACAATGTGTAAGAACATAAAATGGAATTAGCAGTAACATTTCTTCTAATAATTGCACTTTATATCATTGTTTAAAAAACCCTATCATTTTCGATTATTGTTTATGTATAACAATTTATTCACTCAGTTAATATAGGGGAATCCGAAGTAAAAATGAATAATGTGAAACAAATCCCAATTTCAAGGGTGATATGCAAATTGTTTACTTTATGTATACACATTTGTATATATAAAGGGATGGGAAGTTCTTGGGAATATCAAACCCTGAGACGCTATCAACAGCAAGGTGCTAGTCAGCCACAAATTGTTGCAGATAAATGATACGTTATCGCCTTAACATCAATTACCACTGCAGCTAACGTCTTTGGCACGTGTAAAGCTAAAATCACGTGAGAAATAAATGTGAGCTGATGGCACATCCAATAAACCTTTACGTCTATCTTAGATTAAAACGAAGTTAAGCGGCTGATGTGAAAATTTATATACAGATCCACAATTTCTAGTAATTTAATCTGATACGCATGAAACATAATAAGGATTTTTGCCAAACTACACGACGCGAATATTTACAAGCTGAATGCTAGTCTCATTTTTTCCAGTCCGGGTAAAGCGAGACAAGTTGAATTCATTTTTCCCGAATGATTTAATCACTGAAATTGTTTTCATCACGTTTATTTTTAGCATAAATAATATACTTAAGTTCGCAAGCAATTGAATGTTGTTGATTAGAATGTCTCATTTGTAAGCATTATAAAGGTATTTTACTACACTATTGAATGTATTTCGCGCTTTTAGAAGGGTATTGTATACTTTTGCTTTTAATACCTTGTCCGTTTAAACGTATCTGTTTGTTTCAAATCTCAACTAATGACTGTACTCTATTGTTGGTAAAACAATGATAAGAACATATGCTCAGAAACACGATCTTTAGAGGTTCAAATTCATACCGGATATCGCCGAATGTTCTTATGGGTCAGTAAAATCCTGTATCTGACTCAAAATTGACTGCAAGATATGTTTCTAAATATATATCTAAAATATATATTTATGTTTTATGATCAATTTATTGCTTTAAATGGGAAGTCTGCATATTGCATTGAACATTACTATCTTATATATATTGTTTTATGTTTTTCAAAAGACGGAATTTTAATTTTTTTTCATAATTGATAGATAACTTTAATTTGCAACCAAGATAGTAAATTAAATCGTGGCATATCATTTAAAAATATCCGAGATCGATTAAACTTTTAAACTGCAAAATATTATTTTTTTTAAACTTACAGTACGACTTCTCTTCTAAACGTTAACATATTTGTTTAACAGGAGACAACTCAAAAGTCAAAATCTAGAAAATTCATAATGATGATGTTGTAAGAACACGATGCAAATTTTGTGAATTTATCATTTAATCTTTGCTTAACAATGTTCCTTCGAAATAAGTATATAAGTAAAGCTTTTATGCAATATTCATTTTCCTTCCATTTTTTTCCTCTAAAATCTTGTATATCGAGTAATAAAATAGTATTGATATATAACTATACATTTTTCTATACGGACTGAATGCAGATAAAGTACCGAGAAATGTTTATCACGATCAGTCTAAAGACAAATCGGCATGACTGCTCTATTTTTAACTGTAGTCCTGAAGACTTGGTTTGGAAAAATTGACCGTAATATTGAACAACTATTTTCTAGCGGTGTAAACAATTGTCAACGTTGATGTTGACATCAAGTTGACTTCTGCTTTCGTAAAAAAAAAGTCTTCAAATGTCGTTTCGATTAACAATTGGAAGGTTTTTTTAGAGTTGAAACGATTTTCAGCACTATATATTTAATAGATGTCTAATAAAAAAAGTCTACAACTGAATTTATAGGAGGGCGATAAAATAGATGGTATGTCAGTACTTCATCCAACTTATCACCTCTTGCTTGCTACTTCAGAAAGCAGTTTGAGCTTGGGTTTAAACAAACACATGTTTCCCCGCAAACCCAGTCAACAAATGTATGTTTTACTGCCGGATGTCAATTTCACGTCTTAAATGTTATTATTACAACATTTTATTTCATTTCTACTTTTCCGTCTTTTCTTTTTATCTCCGTACAACCAATCGTTTCCCCAGTCTTTCTCTTGATGGCCTCTTTGATTACAGTAATATCATCCAATTTTCAGGTGGGGAGATAACATCATTGCGTGGTATAGGAACGTACCACGGCCATGCCACGGTTTGGAAGGACGCCAGGAAAGACTGTCGAAACAGAGGCCAAAAACTCCTAAATATCGAAGATATCGATTATTGGGACAAAGTAGTTGATCAATTAAATGTCACAGAGACAGGTGCAACTATATGGATCGGCGGCCGTGAAAGCAAAGACACTTGGATATGGTCACATGGTACGTTTATGGATTGATGAACCTCATTAATAATGCTATACAATGTGAATGTTGATATCTTTCTTTATTTTGAAAACAAGTATTTTTTCAATGGAAAAGATTGATATAAACCAAATGCCCTTCAGCATGCAGCTTTACTCTTGGCGCCAAACTCTACGTGTTTGAGTTGAATATAAAAGCTCCGTGTATCACACTCTTGAACAGTGGTATGTCAGTGAAAGAAAATTGTAAATGAGCAGCAAGAAATCCACACTCCTAACAAGCAGAACACCTCTACAATCTTCAATTTGTAAACGTCAAGCCTTGCAGTAGCCTGTTGGTGTTACATTTGCATGTATGGCATTCATTGTTTTATGTTTTATCATTATTTATTTAAAGGTTATATTTATTATTTTTAATTGTTATTATTACTTGTCTACTGATGCTCTTATCCTTGAATGCAAAGCGCATTAGTGTAATTTCCTTAAAATAAGACAGATCGTTATACAAATGTTGTAAATTAAATCTCATATCGAATATTAAAGTACATCCTATCACGAGAACCGAATAACCTGTGACTTACCTGCCTATCACAGTCGCATGCTTTACATTACAATGTTTACACGTGTATCACACAAAAGATCAATAGAATGAATTCCAAATGTCACAAAGGGGTAAAGGTGCTTAAATAACCTCTGAAACATCTCTAACGTAGTTATCACATAAATGTGTTGCATAACGTGCATATGTACTGACGTCATCATAAGGTTGATTTGCCTGTCTGTTAAATAACCCGTTTTTGTTTAGAACTAAAAGTAGCAATTTGTGCTTTTAAAATGGCAGTAGAATAATATGCACTTCCCAGGAATCCTTTTACATATATCTATAAAATCAAAACAATACGATAATTAACGTCTAATTGCATAAAAGTCCTTCTTAACATTACATGTCATCAAATGAATATTTGCGGAACAATGATGAAATATATTCTCAGTGTTCAAGCTGTTCAAGTCCAATCATTAACAAAAGAAGGCAATAACGCGAGGCGTGTGGTTAGTGAATCAGGATATTACTTAACTTAAGGAAGATCCTTGTACTAGAACGTGCTTTAATGGTCGTGGGAACGCGGACCCGTGCCTTCAGAACAACCACCAATTGTAATGATGACCACTTGACTTGGTTCTCTTCTCTGTTGCAAAACAACTTCTCCGTCGCCATCGTTGTTTCCCGTCACAAACACCATAAATAGACAGCTCATATTGTTCCTTAATAAGATTGACTATTTTGTATATCACAGGCGTGTTTATTTTAATTACACAAATAGAGCGAGTTATTGCCTTTACATGGTAGAAAATAACCCTGGTAGTTTAGCTTCCGCTAAATATGGTGAAAATCCTCCATGATTAAATTTTTATGATTATTATGAAGACAAGAAGTGTTTATAACTGTTTTTGGATATGAATATTATATTCTTATTAAATCTTCCGCGATTCAAGGTTTTCTGCGTGAAGTCATCCTTTATAAACATTTCACCCTTGTTTTGAGTATGAATTCTAGTTCACATTACGGTATGTTTTACCACTTTTTCCGTTACACAAAAAAGACTTTACAGCATGCAATAAATAAACAGTATTTCATAAAGTCATTCTGTTTCGTACATTTATATTTTTGCTGTGATCTGCTTTATGCTTTATTCCTGGAAATTGTGATAACACCAAACGTTATATTAATAATTCATAAGTCAATTGGATTTATATGATAATATTACTGATTCAAATGTCTTTTTTCTCGTATAGATTTATCCACACTTCAGACGGCGCCACTGGGCTGTTTCACAGAGAGGTTTACCTATCCTAGAAACTTCACCAATAACCAGCCAACTTTGTGTGCCAGCTTCTGTAAACACAGCATGACCATGCAATACGCTGGTCTGAAGGTAAGCGAATAATGACGTAAACACAATACGTTACTATTACGTAAATTGTTCGTATCTTCATACCTGGGAAACGACCATCATATATCTATACAAATCTGTATTTAAAAGTGTGAAGATGAGCATATCAATAAATAATCAAGTTTTCGTTTGGATTGTGTGTCTTCAATAATGGCTACTCCTCTCAGACTTTCAACGTCTCTTCTTATATATTCATGTGTGTTAATTTATGCATTTAATCTTCGTTTTACAGACCAATTTTACATGCCCTGTGTCTCATTTCTCTTATTGTAAAAAAAAGACTAATGTCGTCTTAAGTGACACTTTTAAAGTTTAATTTTGTCTCTTTTGTCTACTGAAATAATGGACGTTCTAAACTCAATTTGCGACATTCCTTTCATCAGAATAGCAAATATATACATTCCGAACGTTTAACGGTATTTTATATAGAATTTCTCCGGGATTTGCGTCATGCAAGATGTAATATCACGAATCGAGTTGTCAGAATTAGCAAGCGATAGCCACCATTTATGGAAATATTAATTGAAATGTTTGCAAAATACATTCATTTCATGCTTATTGCGTTTATATCATTATATTAAAACTAAATATGGTCCCATTGCCATTCAATAGGGGTCTGAGTGTTTCTGTCTCGGAGAAGAGACGAAGTTTAAGTCTGTACTGGATGCCAATTGTAACACAACCTGTCCCGGAAATAGGTACCAGAACTGCGGAGGCGAGAGCAGCGTCACTGTCTACAACACTGAAGGTGAGTACGGGCTCGTGAGAGGGGCTCGTGAGAGGGGCTCGTGCCATGGTTCTCCCCTTACAACAACACGTTATCTTAAAAACACGTCAAATAACAATTGAAAGTAAAGCACTTTGTGGAAGCCGTTTTATGAGATAAAAACAGATGCATGACTATGATAGGTCTAGTAACACAAATAGCTACTAGCCATTGAAAAGGACAGCTTAACTAAAAACGCATTAGTCAAAGGCTAAAAATGACTTTTTATAAAGATCAACTGTTCAAAAAAGAATCTGTAAAGATAAAGTTTCCACAAAATCGACCAATCCTAAAAACGACATAAAAGGTTCCTTGAATGGACTATTTTTATGTAAGAACTTTTATAGTCTATAATTTTGTATCACTCACTATTTGTTCAATCTAAGTATTGACTTAAGCAAAACTATAGACTCTTGACCATATTAGACCTGATAAAATCCATAAACAAAACAAATTATGATATACACTGTAAGACAATCTTAGAATAATGACCTGTCTATAACGATCGCCTTAATCTTGGATAGTGATATAAAAAGGTTTAATTGTTTAATGTATATCTTCCTTCTTAATTTGGTGTGTAAGCCTTCTTTTTTTTCTTCATAGAGGAATGTTTTTATTTTGACGTTAATTAAGTTTTATGGACAAATCCACTTTCACCGGAAGTCAAATTTTCATATTTTGAATAAGGACACCGTTGAAAGCACAGACACATACTATTTTTTCAGAAGAAGATTCATTTGGTGCAAACAAATTATACAGTCTTTTCTGCTTTCAAATTGTTAGCGCATTGATGAATAACTACAAAATATGCAACAACAAAAATATACAGAAACTTCAAACAGCTCAAGCATAGTATTTAGCCAAAAGCGCTAAATTTTGCTAACAGATATGTACATTTACATTGATATTGATATTACATTTTAAGAAACGTGGGCAAATAATGTTATTATTATTTTTTTACCGTATTCTTTATGCAGATTCATTGGGATGGCACATGCACAAACCAGATGCCGAGCAAACTCGACAGGACTGTGGACAGATCATGAGGATAAACAGCAACGTAACAATGTGGTACTCGGGCAACTGTACGCAGAGACACAAATACATCTGTAAAATTGGTACGTCCTCAAACCTTGTTATTTAATCTCTATATACCAGAGCATCATACGTACATAGCAAATTATCAAAATTAGCGAATTATATTGGCTGCAGTTCATCATTTGCCATTTATAATGAGGACGGTAAAATGATACTAAACGGCGATTATAACTGCTCAGCTTAATTTCCATGAAAGTTTCTTTGTTCTGTTTTCTAAAACCTGCATGGCTCTTCAAATAAGACGAAAAATATTTTTTTCTGAATCCAAACACAAATGACACCAAACAAAAACTATAACAAGAATAAAAAATTAAAAAAATTGTATAAGATATTGAGGAATATATTATGGGATATAATCTATTATTTATGTCTCCGTATTTTTTTCACACCATATTGATTGCACATAGCAAAATATCAAATACAAATAACAAAAAAAAACATTATAACGATACTCATATTAAAGATTGCACTTGTTTCAGTGAACAACCCTGGTATCTGTTCATTTATCAAGCGGCCAATTCCTTGTTATTATCCATCTGAGGACGCAAAAACATGGTTTGAAGCTGCTAAAAAATGTCAACAGATGGGGGGACATCTAGCAGACAGAGCTGTTGAAGACGACGACGAAGACAACCTGTTGACCCATAATTCGTTTTACTGGACGGGATTAACACGAATCAAACAGACGTGGAATGGTGGCAGTAAGTGTATTAAGTAAGGGTGCGTTTGCATCTTGCAAGATTTAAAAAAAAAAAAAAAAAAATATCTCCGCAGTGATTTGTGTCATATTAATCAATAAACAGTTGTAAAAACAATACACATTTAAAAAAAAAGTTACTTCAGTACTACAAATGTGAAAGTTTTTATGTAACTGGCGTATAACTTAAACGTAAATAATTCAGAAAGAGTACATCTATCACATTTTCATCACAAAATTCATAAGCACTTTCAGAATGTTACTACTGCAATCATTTGATTCATTTTTGGCAAGTTTTCTGCATTCTTTAAGTTTTGGTCATGCACCAATTATAAACCAAGTTGTTCTACCGAAATTTGGCTATGCTTTGTTGTTGTTTAGTTTTTATTATTTTGTTTGCGTCTTCAATTATGTACGAACAAATATATCACATCAAAATATGTGTGAATGGCTGAACCATGCATGGATAACATACTATTTGTTTAAATCTTCGGTGTTCCTCAATTCAACTGTACCATAAAAGTAACATTGTCTTATGTAATACATATACCTCTATAATAAAATGTTATTGAAAATGTCTTATGTAATACATATACCTCTATAAAAAAAAATATATATATATATAAATATAACAATAAAACCACTGCTATTGTTAGGTTATTAGGACGTTTGGTTTCGAAAATTTAATCGAGTGCATGTTCTGTAGTCTTCGAGCTTACATCCAGATATCAAAAAGAAATATTATAGCCAATGTACTCATTAAATATATTTTGTATTTTAAACATTATTAACATGACTTTTTTACGATTTTAACCCCACAACCCCCACACCAAACAAACAATAAATAAAAACAAAACACTTAAACAATTTGTCAATGTTTCTGCAGCATTTCGTATAAATTTTGAGTCTTTGTTTTTGACGTGAGGTGTATAATTTTTCTATTTTACTAAATGTGAGGTTAATATATATGAATATGCATATCTCTTTTAACAGATAAAAACGTAGTGGACTTGACTTTGCCCCGAGCAAGGAGGTTTGAGAATAGAACCCGGACATGCCTGACTTTACAGAGGGATTGGCAGGACGACTCTTGGTCTCTAGCTAGTGTATCGTGTAAAGAACGTCTGCCCTACATCTGTCAATCTCGTAAGTACAAACAACGTATTACCCAGAGATGATTGACCAATAAGATTGATAAGGTGGTCAGGATTCGAACCCTGGGCCTCAAATCAAAATCTGTTAACTCTAACCAACTGAGCTACCTTATCAGTGGTAATTCCCTGACCAAATACAATAATAATTAAGACAAAATTAAGAGGGGGGATTACTGTATGCCGGAAAACTACACTGAGGTTTTCTAGTGTTTTCCGGCATATGGGAGATGGATTCTATGGGGGACCGGGGATCCTTAATATTAACTAAAACCGATGTAATCACTTTCTCCGCTCACAAACGTTCTTTTTTAAGAGGGATCCTTAATATTTACATAAACGATGCACCAACTTTCCAACGATTAACGCATCACTTTTATATCCAAGAAATTAGATACATGACAGTTTTTTAATCTCATATCGCAATGTAAATGATGCAAATAGCAAAAATCTAAACAATCAACATGCATTGTTTAAATTATACTTCAAAAATAAACATATAACACAGACCTTCAGATCGGATATCGGTTCAGGGTATGTTTAAAGAATACTGCACATGTATGAGGGAAACATACATTTGTGTTTTATCAGAAATTAATCCTTTTTTTGATTTAATATGAGGGGCTCATGATTAATCGACCCAAAAAAGGATATGTGTCGGCAGATTGTCCTTATCCATTCGATAAGAAAGTTCATGATAAAGAATGCTTTGCATCTAATTTTTGTAAACATAAATGACCATTGGTGTATTAACAAATCAAAATCACTTTGTTGTACATACGTATTCAAAAATCAATACTGTACTTAGTATATCCAAAATGCTAGCTGAATCTAGGAAGTGCGTTATAAAATCCATGATTTCCTGATTGTACACTAACTCCATTGTATCGTAAAATAATTTCACCAAATTTTTGAATAAAACGTTTGAGATTTTGTTGTACTGTAGCATAAGAAGTACATGTTTACCTGCAGTATAGAAATTGTCTATTTGTTTACTTACAGTGGGAACCTTTGCCGAACCTGACGAGTATATAGACCGAAAAGATGTGGACTCAGAACTGACCAAGGCCGAATTAAACCAGGACGACCACCTGTTCGGTAAGTAGAACAACATAAAGAGTTTACGTTTGTGGTATTCTGTGTGCACTTGCAATTGCTGAAAAAGAAATAATTACAAAAATATGTCATATTCAAAGAGAATTTCAATGACAGCTTTGAAGTGTCTCGTGGTTCCGTGTTTTTTTTCACATTTTGATTACATTGCGTCTATTTTGTTACTCTTTGTAAAGTCAATTAACTTTACTGCATGTAGTGATGATGCTATGGTTTGAGCTTTAAATCGTATCAGGTTTTTTACACCACATACATCTGTCTTTTCCAGTCATATTCTTCATTGTTATTCCGTCGGCAGCGGGTGCCTTACTGATAATAATTCTCATCATAATCATCTGCAGCGTTCGTAGAAGGTAAGCCAAATCAAATCAAATCAGTATCGTGCATTTTTGTTAACATTTTCCAAATATTTGATGAACGCAATTTATTGTACATGGCCTAAGGAATATTGTCACATCATAAAAAAAACTTGTTAAACAAATACACCATTTGTCTCAATATGATATTATAATAATTATTCTGTCTTTTTGTTAATTTTTGTAAGGAATAAATCGAGAAAATAGTATACCGTTTATGAAATTTCTGCAGTAACACCATAAAGATTTTTTTCGAAGATGTGTGTTTCTATAAAATTTGTTGCTTTTTTCGATACATCGCCCATGTATTACTCAATGCAAAGATTAAGTGGAATGATACAGATGTGCGATGTATTACAACTTCACTTTTAAAGAAAATAATTAGTGTCCAAATAGTTTGTCGGTCGTAAAATAAAAATAAAATAGTGTACACATTTAATGTAAAAATTGTGTACTAACTAATGTTATTAAATATATTTCCAGAAATGCTAAGAAAGCTCAGAAAACGAAAGAAGAGGAACATTTTTATTTCGTACTGGAGAAAGAGGAAAGCATATATAACACTATAGACGGGCCTGACATGGTGAGAGAGACTCCCTACCTTGTTAAACCAGGATCCAAGGACCAAAATAGGACATCCAAAATATCTCCGAAACCAGACAATATAATAATAGACAACACATACAACCAGTTAGAATTCAAAGGGAGAATGTCTAACGCCTTCAGTAACGGCGTCTCGGTGCACCATGTCGACGACCCGATAGAGGATAACCCTTATGACGTCGTTCGGTCCTCGGAATACGACACAATTGAAAACATAAAGCGCAGCTGCTTCACGTTAGTAGATAAACCGTACGACAGGTGTGGGTCGTTTACAAGACCAGTACAGGACGTCAATTGTAATCAGAACAATATCAGAAATCCAAAGTGATCTACGTGATTTTTGTTCACATTACACTTTTAAAAAAAAAAATGTTAAAAAAAATGATTTGCATCAAATCAATGTAAAGGATCTAAAGTCCTGTGAAATCAGATATTTTAGTGGGCCTACATTTTGAATTCCCGAAAGAAAAAAAATATCATTTCGTTCGTACTTGAATTCGTGCATTAAGAGTACCCACTCTTACGGAGAATTGCGTTATATAAAACTGGTTATTATAACTTCGTGGAGTTATGAATTCGTTGAAGATTACCCACGAAATCAACGAAATTAAAAAAAAACACGAAAATTAGTTATTTTCACAGTATACGTCAAATAGTGCCAAAAGTCAAAACTTATTCAAATAGCATACCTAAACATGGTCATTCATCACAAGTGGTTTAAGTCAAAATTGATTTTCTCTTATTTACTCGATGAAAATAATACTTCATACTATAATACAAATGTACAACTGTGCTGCGCTGTAACATGTGACTGTTGTAAAGTATATTTACGTATACAAATGTCAATCTTACTTCATTTATATACACATAATGTGTAAAACGTCGAAGTGCAGATAACTTTCAGTATGTACAAAAGAATTGCAAAACGGTATTTAGTTTTCCCCGATACATTTCTATTGAAAATATTGGAGAATGATTTGATGCTATCATTCTTAATAATATGTATGTAAGCGCAATACAAGATATATAGAAGTGCTTTAACTATTCCATTTGATATTTATGTGAAATCAGACATGATCTATCTGCAGCTTCTACAATGCTTTATAAATCCTCTTAGTACGACCCCCGTAACAAAGACGTGCGTAACACGTTTGCCCCTATGTGTAATGTCGTCTCGCCTCCTGTCGTTGTCTTTCATTAGGTGTTGACGTCTCAAAGGTCCCTGTTATTGTCTTGTTTAGACGTCTCATCGCTTCTAGTGTCGTTTTCTGTGTTGATGTGTGTTCTTCGTTGTGATGGCTACTTGCTTTCCTTAGTCTGTGTATGTGTAACCATGTGTTCCTCTCGTCGTCGATTCTTTGCTTTGACGTTTCATCGGTTGCAGTCTTTCCTCTAGTGTTGATGTATTATAAGTTTCTGTGTTGTTGTAAACCCTTGTTTTGTTGATTTGTATAGTAATACCAAGGCGCCACAATTGTTTACTACAGCTTACAACCATTCGCAAGATTTGATTTTTGCCTCTCATAACTTTCACTATTACATGCAGTGATATGCAATATTGTTTAAAATGCTAAATGTGATAACAGATTATGACAGAATTTGTGTTTATTAAGGATACGTCATATGACCTCCCCTTACAGGCTGATGTTGATAGGGATGGCAACAAAGATATGTGAAGCCATAGACGTAAATACTATGTCTCTAATGAAGCTAATGTCTCCTGAAGCATGACCAAGTGTGATAGATAAAGAGACTTAGTATTACCTCCCCTTACAGACTGATGTTGACAAGGATGGCAACAAAGATATATGAAGCTAATGTCTTGTGAAGCATGACCAAGTGTGATAAATAAAGAGACTCAGTATTACCTCCCCTTACAGACTGATGTTGACAGGAAAGGCAACAAATATACATGAAGTGTACGTCTTGTGAAGCATGACCGAGTATGTTAGATACAGAGATCCAGAATTACCTCCCCTTATAGACTGATGTTTAGGGGTGATAACTAGTTGATGTGAAGCTTACGCCATTTGAAGCTTACGTCATGTGAAGCTCACATCATGTGAAGCATACGTCTTGTGAAATAATACGAAAAGAGACATAGAAGTATCTCCTCATACCGGCTGCTGCTAACAAGGATGGTAATAAGTGTATAAGTGAAGCTTAAACCGTATGAAGATTGTATTAACTGGTTGAAAAAATGTGATCAATGTTGAATAAAATGATAAAACAATATAAGCCTTGCTTGACATTAACTACAACCATTAAAAAATTGTTTTACATATCACAATACAAAATATACACAAATAAATCTGACAATAAACTACAAAATCTCAACAAAAAAAATCACTCGATGAATGAAAACATCTCTATAAATAGCCATGTTTTTTTAACAGATTTATTTCTTACAAAAGACATGTGAAAAAAATATCAACATCTTTTGCAAAACGAAATTCTTGTCTGTAAACATATTAATGATAAAGAATTAATATTTAAAACCAAACATTGTATACATGACTCCAAAATAGGACCCATTGTATACACACACAAAATATGGGTCAACAAAAACATCCATGTCGATGGCAGACGAACTATACACGTGTACCACTGTATGACCGTTCGAGGCGAGTTATACAGGTTCCTAGCAGCTCGGGTTAGCCTACGGTACGTTTTCTTGGGGAAAACTGAAAAGAACAAAATAGATCTGACATGCAGATTCTTTATCTTGACATTTTTATTTAAATACTGCAATGTCTATACTTCCACACCTACCGTTTACCAATTGCCTTCCGTGTGACCATCACGACCTTAATGTGTTCATGTGCCATTATAACCTTATCCTATCACCTTTTTATCCAGAATCTGTCTATTATTCTAAAATATATATCAAACGATGATGATTGGATAAAACTTCATAACATACAATTTAAGCCCAGTCAGGTATGCAAAGCCCCAAATGACTTGACAGGTTCAACATAATGTGCTATATATCTAAAACGTGTTCAAAGCCCCGAATACCTGCACAGGTCCAATGCAAAATGCTATCTAAAATGTATTCAAATGTATGTAAACTGACAATAAAAAATAAATTATCAGGAGTTTAGATGTTTAGCTAATGAAAAGTCTATCATTTGGGATAAAATATCATCAAGCTAATCAGAATTATAATACCTTGCCACGCAACGTGATAATTAGAACAAATGCGTCGGTAATGTTTTCATGGTTTTATTTGACTTTAAGAAACCCACGTCGGGGAATGTCTAAAACGTTGTATTTTGGTTTGCATTTGTGATCTTTCTTAAAATAAAGTTTGTTACATATACATAATCGCCCTCTGCAAACTTGGCCGAAACCAATGAAAAGTATATTTACTCGTATCTGTAGATAATAATTTTATTAATGTTTTTTAATCAGTGTAATTAATGAATGCATTTTACACTAGTATATGGTATTTTGTTTAAAAGTTATTTTTTGCAGAATATAAATCATGTTTTTTTACTTGTATTACCACTAACAAGAAAGTTCTCGTTGGGCGGATTTCCTTATAGATTAAAATTAATATCATAATTATCATCCTTCCACCAAATTTAATCCCACTTATTTCAAATAAATTTCAACCTTAACACTGAACAAGAGGCCCATGGGCCTTAACGGTCACCTGAGTCTATAGTATTTATTTTTGTTGTTGAAATATGTACCAATTTGAGTAAAAAATAGTATAATGTTAACTTAACTTTGTCAGGACCATGAGCTGATCATTCCTAGACCAATTTTAAGTGAGATCGGCCTATTAGAACTTAGTAGCAAAATAGCGGCCATGGCAGCCAAATTGTATTTCTGATTGACCCGAAAAATAACAACACTTTGTCAGGACCATGAGGCGATCATTCCTACCAACTTTCAGTTCAATCGGTCCAGCAGAACTTGACTTTAAGTTTGAAATAGGTTTTCAAAATGGCGGCCGTGGCGGCCATATTGGATTTCTGATCGACCCGAAAAATAACAACACTTTGTCAGGACCATGAGGCGATCATTCCTACCAACTTTCAGTTCAATCGGTCCAGCAGAACTTGACTTTAAGTTTGAAATAGGTTTTCAAAATGGCGGCCGTGGCGGCCATATTGGATTTCTGATCGACCCGAAAAATAACAACACTTTGTCAGGACCATGAGGCGATCATTCCTATCAACTTTCAGTTCAATCGGCCCAGCAGAACTTGACTTTAAGTTTGAAATGTAAAATGTTAACGGACGACGGACGACGGACGACGGACGACGTACGACGTACGACGGACGACGGACGACGGACGACGACGGACGAAAACGGATAGCAATAGGTCACTTGAGCTAAAGCTCAGGTGACCTAAAAATACATACATAGGTCTACGATGACTGTAACACTTCCTTCTGCTGTAACAACACACCATCCTAATCCTTTCTTTATATACCAATACAAAGTACAACAACTTGTACTTACATAATACAGCCGAACAGAAATATTGATTTATCCAGTTCGACATGCTCTTATTAAGATAAAAATAATCAATTTTCTTCTGCAATTACTTAATGTTTAATAATATATGCTCATAAATGAGCCTTGTTATCACTACCCCCGATATATCTTTTACAACATGCCATTACTTGGTTTCGACCTACATTTATATGGAGGCTTTAATCAATTAAATAAAAGATACTTATCCCTACGAAACTCCTGGTCTTTTTCTCCTTGTACTTTTTCAAGACACTACATATGAACGTTTCCCCTGCTAATATATATACTGCCATAGTTTACTTCATTTTTAGTTCGAAAGTTGGTTTTGTGAACACTGCAGTATTATCTTGTTTTTTCTAGCAACACCCAATTTTGTTCAATACAAATAACAGGCTTCGGATGTAGAGCTAACACACTTGTGTGTACATGGGTGGAAGTTGGGGGGTCGTTTACTCTTCAAATGAATATCCGGAAGTATGCAGGGTTACAGAGGGTGAGTAGAGTTGAATTTAAGTAGGGAATCCATCACAACAACATCAGAGTATATAGGTTCTTTAGTTTAATTGGATCAATTAATAAATTGATGCAGATACACAATACAAATAGTACGATGAATATCTAATTAAAAACAGCAAGCCATGACTCAATTCAATTAATTTAATAAACGTAAAATGTGAAAACAACAACTTGTTATAAGACTTTGGTTTTTAGAAAATATCTATGAAATCAGCAAAACAATGAAAAAAAAAAAACAAGGATGTATCTATGTTTTTGTATTGGGTTTTATTTGGTTGAATTGGGGAAAATTGATAATTGTATTGAGTAACATTAAGCTTTATAGGAAAAGAAATAAATATCAATTTGCAACAAAACATGAGATGTTATCATTGTCTTTATTAGCAACGTTAACATGTACATTGTATATTGTCGGATCTCCTTATGTAACGTAACTAGGGACATGAGTAAATAATGTACGGATTAAATTACAATACTCCCTACCTTATATAGTTTCTGTTGTTGCAGGGACACTGCATCAGGGAATATCAGTCTGTACATTAATAATTCTAACTAACTCCTAAAAATTAACAAAATAGATGAAGCTCTAAGTCAAATAAATAAAGGTCTTACATAAATGTTTGCAAAATGAAACATTTTATACCTTTGATACACAATTCCATACCTACAATACAGGTCCGTATTATTTCAAATAAATATATTATTCTACATTGTGTGCATTAAAGTTTTTAATAAATCAATACCATCACATGAACACACATGTATCTGACTCAAACCTGCCATCCACATGTGATCTATAATGCACATACTAACACTTACATTCACACACGCACAAATACTCACCAAAACACTTGTACTTTACACCACGTCCACCACATACATACCAGTATTTTACACAGGTCCTCAAATTAATAAGTCTATCTACCCTTTCCAGAATCATACATAATTTCACACCTAACTCTTATAGAAAAAGATCATTTTCATGTAATTTCATATTTCATCAACCATAAACTTGTTAACTTTGTATAGCCTCTTTCTCTGAACCCCACTAAGGTTATAAATGTGTGAATTATAATAAGAATGAGAACAATGATTCAGACAATCTTAAGTGATTCATACTAAATGGTCAATGATTGATAACTGTTTTTCTTGCATATCAGCAACAGTTTCGACAGTTTTCAATATATGTAATATTTAATATCTTGAGATTAGCATCATATCTGCATCAAACTTTCATTAACAAAGATATACAGATATCAGTTTCTGGTGTAATGTGAGAAATTCTGGGAAACTAATTTTCCAGATTAATGATTAACAATTTATGTTACTTTCCCCTCATTCCTGTGTATATGACAGAACTGTCCAGGGCCAGAAAGAAGTGCAAGATATTTCTATCATACGTCACAATGGCACAACAATGATACGATGCCACGATATACAGAACCTTCTGATGCTACGATGCAGAAATTGCGATGTTTTCTTAGTTTGTACTCTATGAGGCCGAGAGGTGCAGAATAGGGAAATCCGACCCGAAGATATTCAAATTGGAGTGAAATTTTTAACAAACCTCGGGTTTTACCCAATTAAGAAAACCCTTGGGAGGGATTGCTGTGTCCTACACAATCCTGAAAGTCTAGGAAGTACTTATGAGTAGCAATGGACTTAAGATATACATCTATTAACAAAATTATTAAAGAGTGAAGTAAACAGACACACACCTTTGTTTTACCTTTTACACATATTGGTCAATTATCCAAGGAGATCCAAGAAGGGTTCCCCCTCTCCTCCTTTCTTAAACTTTCTACATCAGAAGATCCAAGAACGGCTCCCTACTCCTCCTTTCCAAAACTGACCATTGGTTCATATTTCCTGATAAGTTTATCTTGTGCCATCTCCCAAAAATCCAAACGTTCATTGGCCGAGGGAAGGAACATTCTATTATTTCCCCACAACCTTACCAACTTACTGGGAGGGTCCTGGCTTAATTATATAGAAAAAGAGAGTCCAAATATCAGAGGATCGTCTGTATTATTAATCATATTTTAATATTTTCATATCATGTTGATTTCCCCCATGATGTTGACTGGTCTATCCTTGTATTTTATGGATATTTCTCCTTCCATCTGAAAAAATAATTAAAAAAATTATCAACATCGTTTTAAAGATTTCCAATACCTATCATCAGTTTATGGAATATAGAAATATATTCCTATGACATCAATTAAGGAGGGTCTTTTTCTTGCACTAAATCATGGCCTTATATGCCAATTCACATTCTTATGAACAATGATACATATCAAGTAAACACCAAACAAATTTCTGGAATTAACCATTTCACCCCTAGGTAACTTTAGTAGACTCTATCATACATTGATCTGGACGAGTCCATTATGGTCTACAGTGGTGGAAGGGTTAATACTGTATTTATCCTCCAATAAGCGAAGGGGGCCAACACAGAATCTCTGACTCAAAATAGGAAGGTGGGCTTATACTAGAAAAAATAAAAACAGCATTTCTTGGCATTTCTACTGAACTGCAATTGATATGGGTGGGCTTATTGCCAGATAAGTTATCGTTCAGCAAAGTCCATGCCTTTTTTCAATATCCACCAATCAGTGACAAACAGTGGCATTTGACTGAATTCATTAAATTATGACATGTTTGTGATCATTCTCCACATAAACTTTGCTATCCTTGCCCCATGGTTCCGACACTATTGTCGGATAAGTGACTTTATACACAGACCTGACTCTGCATCTCCTTCGTTCTCTTGATTATCACATCAAGTTTGGGCTCCATCTGCCTCTGTTCCTCCAAGACCTCTTTCTTCTTCACAATCATCTCCTTCTCGTAGAACACCATCTTGTCAGCCAGGGACAGTGTCTGTTTGAGGGAGTCTCTCAGGCGGTCCACATACCTGCATTAGAAAAGTCCTTTTTGTAATATACTCACAACTAAGGCACGTTACTATACTTGAGATAGTTCGTACTTCAGCTAGGGTCGTGTAACATAACATACCCTTGTTCCCTGTATGATAAAACTTTATTTATTTTACAACAATTATGTTACAAGTTATTTCAACTTATATCAATCACTCTTTTTGGCCCGGATGTTAGCGCGTGGGGGTCTTAGTGTGGGAGGAAACCAGAGTACCCGGAGAAAATCCACGTGGTCGGGCAGGTGACCCCAACCTTTTTACGTCCGATCGAGGAATGGAACCCCGGGCCGCCTTGGTGAAAGGCAAGTGCGCTATCCACTGCACCATCTGACCACCCTGTTCCCTGTACAGCATGTTGAATGACTTTATGGACACTTGACCTTTGACCTTGACCTCAGTAACCTTGTTTTAGTTTTTTACAGTTGTGGCTTACAGACACAACTCTAGTATTATAAAATCAGCCTATTAATTTGAAAATATGCAAGAACACTGACAACAGTGGTTAGGACCCGTTTTTTTTACACTTAAGCAGTTCCCTTATTTTGCAAGAGTAAATGATCTTTCATATTTCAAGAAATTTCGATCATTCAATCGAAACAACCATGATTCAAAATCCAATCTCTTTCGTTGTCTCCCGGTTTAATGTGATAGTTACATAGCTAAATAAGGATGGAATAAACAGGAGGGTAGATCAGACATGACATTTACAGTTGACCTGGTAAGTGACCTGATAGTGGTTTTCGTTTTAATAGCAAAAATGACATTCAGCCATTTTGTAATAAAACTTCTAAAACAATGTGAAAAATTCCATAAACATGACAGTAAACTCTATATTATTACAGGTAATATGTATGTAAATTATACCAGTATAATACAAAACTGTCATACAATAGTTCAGTTTAGACAGGTTTTGTTTGATACACAATAGTTCAGTGTAGACAGGAATTGTCCAAACACAACAGTTCAGTATAGACAGGTTTTGTCTGATAAACAACAGTTTAGGATAGATGGGTTTTGTCTGATACACAATAGATCAGTATAGACAGGAATTGTCCAAACACAATAGTTCAGTATAGACAGGTTATGTCTGATACACAATAGTTCAGTATAGACAGGTTATGTATGATACACAATAGTTCAGTATAGACAGGTTATGTCTGATACACAATAGTTCAGTATAGACAGGTTATGTCTGATACACAATAGTTCAGTATCGACAGGTTATGTCTGATACACAACAGTTCAGTATAGACAGGTTATGTCTGATACACAATAGTTCAGTATAGACAGGTTATGTCTGATACACAATAGTTCAGTATAGACAGGTTTTGTCTGATAAACAACAGTTCAGGATAGACGGGTTTTGTCTGTTACACAATAGTTCAGTATAGACAGGCTTTTTCTGCTATATGAAAGTATGGTTTAGACAGGTTTTCCTGACATACTGTAATGTAGTTTATACAGGTTTCAATGACACAGAAATTCAGTTTAATTGTTTGTTTAGACAGGTTTCACTGACAAGCAATAGTATACGATGATTTTTTTACAAGAAGTACATTACCTTGGTGAATTCCTTATCAGAAGTAAGTGGTGCATTTTTACAGAGGTCAGTTGACTGAGAATGTCCTTGACCTTCGACGCCATGGTTACGACCTTGTTTTTGTCGACCTGTACAGAGGAAGGAGCGTTCTGGAACTGGCTGGTGCTGATGATGTCCAAATCTCTATTCCCATCCATCTCACAGATTCTCTGGGTCAGGAACGCTTCCAGCTGTCAACAGGGACAAGATTGTCACACAAACCGGATGGTAATCTACATATATATATATATAGACATTCCACACAGCTTTTTGTAGAGGCAATTTTTAACTGTCTATTGTAGACTCAAAAAGTTAATATTTAAAACTTATTTCAGGATTTATAAAATTTACAAAAATGATTGTAAGACGATTGATGACACTCAGTGTACCATTCTGGAGCAAGGAAAATGTAATACAAGCTTTAAAGCAACAGATTTTCTCAACTTTATACGGAGATGATCAAACTGAGATAATTACTATCAAAATCAATCAATGAATCGGTAACAACAACCTAAGATGTTGTAGGGATGTAACCCTGGTAAATACTAGCCGCAATATATCGCTCGGCTAGAGAGAACTTCACTTTAGCTCGATCGGTTGAGCATAAGACTAGTAAGCCAGGGGTCCCGGGTTCGATCCCTAGCGGAGGTAGTGATTTAAATTTAATTAATCATGCGCTTTGTTACATGGACACAATGTTTTATTTTGTACCTCCATCAAGTCATCCATAAACTTGGTGCGTGTGACGGGATTGTCCAGTATGGTCAGAGCGTCCACTCCCTTAGCGACCCCCTCCTCTGTCCCACCTGTGATAAGAAAAATATGCGAGCTTTAGATCCACGAAATATATTATTGTAGTGCCTGTACATTGTAGCATTTTAGTATCCATAATATGCCTGAAGGAAATGTTTGTATTCTACACATTTTTGTTCACAAATTTCATTACAGTTATTGTATTAGGTGAAAATTATTTCTTTCTCCTGGTATTTTTTTGTGAATAAAAATATATGCAAATCAATTAATAGAATGTGTCTCAGAAGTGTTGCTATTACATCATATTCTAGCTTACTGCTTCAATGAAGCCCTTAGAAATCTTCTCATGGTATTTATAAATGCAAATTAGAAATTGCAAATTTATTGATAAGCTCCAATATATTGCTTTTCATTCCGTTTGCCTTTAGTTAAAAATAGGTCTTTATTCTGACCATAAATTATAACCAACAACAATTCACAAATATCCTATAGTCCAATCACAGGGTAATTAACATTTTTTTGTGTGATTGCTCTTTCAAAGTCCGACCTTACAAGAAATGTATTTTATAACAAATGGAACATCAGCATCAGAGCCTTCCTTGTTTAATATCGTTGAACAATTTATTGACAAAATATTTGGAATTGTGTTCTTTTTGCAAATGAACCCATTACATAAATGCTACCAAGTAAGTTCTATATTATAGAACTACTGACGGAGAGATTACCTTTGCTTGGATGTTCGACCAGGACGGTGTCGCTCCAGTCGATACCGTTACTATCACTATCTGGCTCCAAGGACTGGTTACTTGGGTTCTGTAGATCAGGAAAAGTACAGACATCCACCCTTTATATAAAGTGTTCATCAATCACAGTGGAGGACCCATATTAATTGGAAACACAAAACGAAGGAACTATTTTTATATTTACCTCAACCTTGATAGGTTAAACTATTGGGTACACAAAATTGTCTTAAAACCTCTAAATCTGTTGATATTTTAATTGAGATTGGCAATTGATGCATCACTTAGATATCATTAGAACAACTGTCAATGGGTCATTGTGACGTCATACATTTGTACGTCATTTTCTGTACCTACGAATAAGTAAGATTGACGTTACTTGAAACAATCGTGGACTTTCGTCCTTGAAGAAGGCCAGGAGGCTGAAATATTGGGACTTAGAGTGACATTTGTTCTATATTTTCATCTTTTTTCCCCTTTGGAAATCATATGTTGTTTAAACTATCATTGGGTTTTAAACTATTAACAATTTTAATTGATCCTTGTGACATTTGTTCAAAAATATCAAATTTTCCTCTGGAAATTTACCTATTTTTTCTTAATTGGTCCTGGATGAGTCTTTCATTTGGAAACATACATGTATGTCAAATATTATGACTGGGAGTGACCTATTTTATCTTAATTCCCTAATTAACTAGCTGTCAGAAACTTTGTATGACCACAAAAATAAATTCATATTTCCAATAAAATATTTGTGACTCTGTTCTTGAGGACCAGTAAACAACAATGAATTTAATTTAACATATGAGTTTTTACAATAACACAGGTTTACACTGGACCTGGTCTTCAGTCTCCGTTCCTCCTTGTTCCACGGTGATTTCGGAGATGTCAAAGTCAATTTCCTCACCGAAATCAATGTCTGCTTCAACATCAGCCCCAATGTCCCAATCAATCTACAGTGTAGCAACATGAGAAAATACCATAAAAAGTTTCTGACATTTCATAAAAACCAAATTCACATTTTCATTTGTAACATTTCAATTAGTTAAACTCAAACTTATACATGCATTACCTTCACTATTTGGAACTGTTCCAGTTATCAAATCAATTCATTTACAGTAAGAACTTGACAACAAAATGAGAGATAAGTTTGACTTAACAAATTTAGCATATAAGAAAACTCACTGAGGGACATAAATACGTACATTCTCAGTAGCATCATGTTGATCCTGTTCGTCGCCAAGATCAATCAAAATGGGCGTCTCCTCGACCTTCTCCGGCTTGGTGCCTGTCCTCCATTCGTATGTTGTTGTGTCACCAGAATTTTGGACATATTTTAACATTGTCACACATGTCTCCTGGTGCTTTTGGCTTCAAATATATAAAGATAATTGACAAAAAAAAACAATTAGCAAAACTTTAAAAGAAAAAAGAAAAAATTGTTAGGCTTTCAAATTAGTTAAAAAAAATTATCACCAACATTCAAACTAAAATAATTTCTTCTTGCTGTTTAAATTAGTTACTTTCACACAAAAGAGGACTAAAACGTTCATGACATTATACTATTCAATATACAAGAAGGAGTATTGAGTTAGATTTCAAGGGAATCTCATTCTGAAGTAAACATATTGGGTACCTGTGATTCACGTGAGACCATATCATGAATCTTATTTAAAAAGTTTAAATTACAATTTAACATATTTTATAGTTAATCATAGATTTCATTTGTGCACCTGTTCATAACAAAATTCACAAAGTCTCCATAAAACTGAACAGCCTCCTGTAAATCCTTGGAAGAATCTGCTATCTTATTGAAAGTCATTGGCAGGTCTTTAACAAGGGCAGATAATTCAGACTTGATCTTCTTTCCCTTCAAATACAAAAAAAATCCATAAACATATCAGTACTAAATTTATTTTGTGTGTGAAGTGTTTTCAGGCTTACACCAACAAACAAATAAGGTTCAATAGTAGTTATAGACAAGTAGTAGTTATAGACAGGTGATAGTTATAGACAGGTGGTAGTTATAGACAGGTGGTAGTTTTAGAGAGGTGGTAGTTATTGGCAGGTGGTAGTTATAGACAGGTGGTAGTTTTAGAGAGGTGGTAGTTATTGGCAGGTGATAGTTATAGACAGGTGGTAGATATAAACAAGGGATAGTTATAGACAGATGGTAGTTATAGACAGGTGGTAGTTATAGAGAGGTGGTAGTTTTAGAGAGGTGGTAGTTATTGGCAGGTGATAGTTATAGACAGGTGGTAGATATAAACAAGGGATAGTTATAGACAGATGGTAGTTATAGACAGGTGGTAGTTATAGAGAGGTGGTAGTTTTAGAGAGGTGGTAGTTATTGGCAGGTGATAGTTATAGACAGGTGGTAGTTATAAACAAGGGATAGTTATAGACAGATGGTAGTTATAGACAGGGGGTAGTATAGAGAGGTGGTAGTTATAGACAGGTGGTAGTTATAAACAAGGGATAGTTATAGACAGATGGTAGTTATAGACAGGGGGTAGTATAGAGAGGTGGTAGTTATAGACAGGTTGTAGTTATAGACAGGTAGTAGTTATAGACAAGTAGTAGTTATAGGCAGGTGATAGTTATAGACAGGTAGTAGTTATAGACAAGTAGTAGTTATAGGCAGGTGATAGTTATAGACAGGTAGTAGTTATAGACAAGTAGTAGTTATAGACATGTGATAGTTATAGACAGGTGATAGTTATAGACAGGTGGTAGTTATAGACAGGTGGTAGTTTTAGAGAGGTGGTAGTTATTGGCAGGTGATAGGTATAGACAGGTGGTAGTTATAAACAAGTGATAGGTATAGACAGATGGTAGTTATAGACAGGTGGTAGTTATAGACAGGTGGTAGTTATAAACAAGTGATAGTTATAGACAGATGGTAGTTATAGACAGGTGGTAGTATAGAGAGGTGGTAGTTATAGACAGGTGGTAGTTATAGACAGGTGATAGTTATAGACATGTGGTAGTTTTAGAGAGGTGGTAGTTATAGACAGGTGGTGGATATACACAGGTGGAAGTTATTGACAGGTGATAGTTTAAGGCAGGTGGTAGTTATAGACAGGTGATAGTTTTAGAGAGGTGATACTTATAGACAGGTGATAGTTATAGACAGGTGATAGTTTTAGACAGGTGATAGTTACAGACAGGTGGTAGTTATAGACAGGTGGAAGTTATACACAGGTGATAGTTTTAGAGAGGTGGTAGTTTTAGGCAGGTGATAGTTATAGACAGATGGTAGTTATAGACAGGTGATAGTTATAAACAGGTGGTAGTTATAGGCAGGTGATAGTAATAGACAGGTAGTAGTTATATATAGGTGATAGTTATAGACAGGTGGTAGTTATAGGCAGGTGGTTGTTATAGACAGGTGATAGTTTTAGACAGGTGGTAGATATACACAGGTGGTAATTATATACAGGTGATAGTTTTAGAGAAGTGGTAGTTTTAGACAGGTGGTAGTTATAGACAGGTGATAGTTATAGACATGTGGTAGGTATAGACAGGTGGTCGATATAGACATGTTATAGTTATAGACAGGTGATAGTTATAGACAGGTGATAGTTTTAGAGAGGTGGTAGTTTTAGACAGGTGATAGTTTTAGACAGGTGGTAGTTATAGACAGGTGATAGTTATAGACAGGTGGTTGTTATAGACAGGTGGTTGTTATAGACAGGTGGTAGTTATACACAGGTGATAGTTATAGACAGGTGGTTGTTATAGACAGGTGATAGTTTTAGACAGGTGATAGTTTTAGACAGGTGATAGTTATAGACAGGTGGTAGATATATACAGGTGGTAGTTATAGACAGGTAATAGTTATAGACAGGTTGAAGTTATAGACAGGTGGTTGTACCTTGGTATTTTAAATGTGATAAATGTATTCTGCAGTTTAATTAATAACTATTGGTCACACTGTTCAACAAGTTTGAATATCAAAATCCTTTTAATAAATAGATTATGTAAAAAGAGTTGTCACAAGAATGACTTTTTTAAGATTATTTAACCATTTAACAGTTCTCACCACAATTCCTAGTTCCTTACACCTGGAGTCGTATTTCTTACGTAACTCTGCAGCCTTGGCAACGTAATCAGCCTCTTTTTTGTCACATTCCTACAACAACAATATCAATATATAAAAATAACATAAAAATCAGGTTCAGCAAAATGACTGTCCAGCATGAATGATAAAACATGTTGTATCCCAACAATCACTGTGTAGAGTGCTTTATTGAATCAAGAACTTACTCTACAATGAGCATTCAACAGATGATTAGTATTTATTACAATAAGGAGGGAGGATGGCAGTCTTAGACTATGATTTCCATTAGTTCCTCCTCGTATGTGAGGGTGTACCCTAATGGGCCATTTATAATGTGATGCACTTGAAAGTGTTTATAAACATGTAGTAGCCATAGACACATAGCAGATTTAGACTCAATAATGGAGAAAAATGGGCGGATTGGTCGAGTGGTAAAAACTCCGGCCTTCACCCCCGAAGTCGCATGAAATATTCAGAGAAATTGTTTTTCTCCTGCCCACACAACTCCAACAACCCAGGTGGAGGATAAAATGGTCTGGGGTGGGTGTTGCGGTATCTGTGATGTAGCATTCAAGTGAGGTGGCACTATAAATGATACTGTTGGAAGCATGGTCCCACTACAAACAGAACACAATACATCTCCAGCACACACACAGGCATACACACATGGAGATATTAGCCAGGTGGCATAGGACTGTGAATTCCTCAATATTGTATTGATTAACATATTATTATAAAATTGACTATATAAAATTGTATATCTATGTACTGTAAAGCGCTTTAGAGAGGCTTATGTTAGCTAGATAGAGCGTTATATCAAATGTTGTATATTTAATTTTTTATTTAAAAAAATTGTGCTGTGAATTATAAAAAATGAAAGTTTGTGTTTTATATTAATTATTATTCAAGATGACTATCATAGCATTGTAATTCCTGTAAATATATTATGTGTGTTGTCAGAATAAACCTAGGTGTATCTGTGTAAGGCAATATTACACCCCATTCTAGAGAGGTGGACTTAATCGATGGTAAGTCTAAGGAAAGTTACAGATATCTGGTAAAAAAAAATCTGTTTCATTATTTGATGTTTTTCATAAAATGGTAAAAAGATTCATTGTTCAAGGAATCTTCACTCTATATCAAATTTACCCGAAATTATTGTTATAATCAACAATAGCTTGTCTCTTTGAAAATATGAATTCATTCAACTGAGCATTGATTATTATCAACCATATCACATCACAAGGTAATAGTATGTATCTTACCTTCTGGACTTGCTGACACTTTGCAATCTGTTTTTTCAATGCTGGAATTTCGTAATTTACATTCCGCCCAATCATTTGTGCTGTTTCTCCTTAAAAACAGTAATATTCAATATCATAATCAATATTTCAACTATATATGACAGTATTTTATCACTGAACTGAGTGTTTTTGTTTATTTTTTAATATTTCCTTGGTTGTTCTTAATATCTATGAAGCAGATCATGTTTGTTGTCCTTGATTTTTAAAACTGATGATTATTTCCATGACAATAAATTTGTAAGATATTTTACCTAAATACACTCCATCTTTTTCATACATCCTGATGATTTCCACCCAATCCTGAAACAAATTGGACCCAACAAATCAAGCATTTCAAACATAATTTTTTGATATGCACACCATCTAATGTAAAACTGTTCTTTTATACAACATAATGCCCAGAGGGGTGGTCGAGTGGGGAAGTGGAAAATACACTCGGCTTTCAAAAAGGTGGCTTGGGTTCAATTCCCAGATCAGACATGAAATGGCATGGGGTGAACTGCTGAGCCACATGGGTTTCGCCGGGTACACCGGTTTCCTCCCATATTATTTAACCCTTTCACCCCTATGTAACTTTAGTAGACTCTACCATACATTGATATGGATGAGTCCATTGTGGTCTACAGTGGTGAAAGGGTTAAGACCCTACATGCACCAACGTTTTGGCGTACAAGAATGATAAATGTAAGTTGGAATTAACAATTGTTGTTATATAAAATAACTTTATCAGGGTCATTTTTACCTTCATTTTTTGTGAAGAATACTGTCCAAACATGTTCTTCTTTCCAGACTCACTGTCCTTCAACATTGCCACAATCTTCACACAGTGAAAGTAGTTGACATCTGTGAGAAATATTATTTGATACATTTTATTTCATGAAATGTCAGATTTTGAATTTTTCATGTGACAAAAAACAAGTTTTAATATTGTATTTTGTTTCATCTATTTATGATAAGAATAATCCACTTCACTTAAATTTGAAGCAATATATTGAAGCACACTACTTTTGCAGAGTTTTATATTGATTTCATCGTCCATTTACATTTTAATACTCATTATAATTGTACCTCGATCTATACTAAGCACAATCTAAATACACCATTGATTTTATCGCAAAACGATAACAATTAGCTATGTTCGGTAAATAACCATGCTTTCTGCTTGAAATTTGTTTCACTTTTGTGAGTATCACTTTATTGTGTTGATAAACAAGATATTGTTTACAATGAGATAATAAGAATTCCTCACATGTCCCCTCCAGGAGTTGTGTGATTTCCTCCATGGCGGGCATGTCCTGTATCGCCTGGTTGATATTCTGCCGTATGACAGCGAGCGAGGTGTGCCATTCCTGGGTACAGTGGCGACGATTGATCAGCCAATCTACACAAAAAAAGTCAATTTTATAATTAACCCTGGTATTTTGGCAATTACCAAGTTCTTCAGTGGATATGTAGTCTATTATATATATGTACCAAAGCAAATGAGTGAATTGTGAATTAAATATGCACAGAAGTGAGAACTTTGCCTTGGAAGAGCTTACACATATTTTTGATACATACTGAATAACATCCTCTTCCCAAAAAAAAAAAAAAAAAAAAGAGACTTTTGTGCACTCTCTATTTGTTAATGTTCACAAACATTATCTATCATCTTCTCCTGACCACAATCAAGGTATAGAATTTAATTACCCAGTAGTTTGTTGAAATGTACGTCTATTGGGATGTTTTGTTCTGCGGATCTTTGATTTTGTTTGGTCGCCATTTTTGTTAACCACTGGTGCTATCTGAAATGAACGATGATAGATCTAGAAGCAAGTAATATTCAAGGATAATAATCAAATGGAAAATGGATTAATCGTGTTATAACTTGTAGACCAAAATAGTTTTTGCTGTGGTTCCGATTTCCTTCTCTCTGCAAAATAAAAGTAGGTACTTGTAGCATGTAATCTACTTAAGCATGCTTGTTTGTGCTTTATATCCTATTACAACAGCTCATCAGGGCCTACTTGTATAAAACATCTCAAAGTTAAGGGAAATCTCAAGCAATGTATTGTCTATGGGAAATCTTAGACTTGAGGAAATCTCAAGAGTTGAGATGTTTATACAAGTGGGCCATGGTCATTCAAGGATGAGTCAGGTTTTGGTGATCATGGAGGAAAACTGGAGTATCCGGAGAAAAACAACTGATTGTGATAACATTATAATCCTATGAGGCGTTGATTATATGAAATCTTACCAATTTGACACTTTTGATTTTGCCCCTTTAGTTGGCATAGCATAGGACCGGTTTGTAGGTCTGATGACACGATATACAAAATGTATATAAGATTGCCTCGTCATCAAAAGCTATACGTTATCACAGCTTTATGGGTTAATGACCATAGACAGTCATAGACGGTGGAAGTCACTCTTTAGATTTTACTGTTTAATCAGAGGATCAACTTCTGGTTGACTTATGATTTACAATTTCATGTTTGATGTCCATCAGGTTTTCCCTGGATGGAAGCTGAATGTGAAAAGAGATAATAACTGTCCATGATATTGTGAAGTTCCATATGTATCAACATTTTGGACTGTAATGTCCATTGACTTTTTTGTCACTCAAAGAAATGACTCCTCCTGTTTAAATAACTTAATACACCATATAAACTGAAAGTAGACATGCCGAGATACACATTGACATTGTGAGATCCCCTGCTGGACTTTGAAGGTAACAGTAAATTAAGTAAGGCATGAACACAAAGATTCGAATGAGCTGCAATCCATTTCAGTATAAACATATGTCCTAATGTCGTCCGTACGTCAAGTATTTGCACAGCCATATATGATATCATTTGATATATCCATAAGACCATAGTATTGTATTGTGCCAAGTCAGCTGTCAAAACGGGTCTCACTAAAATACGCCATAGCAGAATGGCATGTTTCTGATAGTATCAGTTTGTATGCCTTTATTGCATTAGAACCAATCAATACAGAACATTACTATGTTATCTAAATACAAAACAAATCAAAATGATATGCCGCCAACATCGACTCTCCTTTACCTGTATTTCACCACCAGCTGTTTAGTTTTCAACGTGTTGTTTACTAAAATATTAGCTTCCGGTTGAAGAGCTCTTATTATGGGCGCGTTCGAATAAATAATCAAAATGAGTTGTGTTCGATTACGCCTCTTTGTTCTGTATGGCGTTTCTTCTTCTCCTTTAGGTTATCAGTAGTCCTTCAATGATCTGAAGATTGTTTACTGTTTTGCGCAGCGTGGCCTATATATATATATTTACAAGACTACCAAAAATTATGAAAATGAATTTGGAATGCATAAATTTTAACTTGTGATTAAAACTATGTACATAGGCTTGTAAAAATTAAATGAATTTGTGGAGAACAGCTGGTGTGAGCTGTTCTCTGAAAGTGTCGACTGTTGTGACAGTGACTGTATGGATTGGTAATAAATTCCATTGAGTTATGGTATAAGAAAAAAAATGAAAATTTATATGTATCTTTTTTGGTCGAAATGTGTCTGTATGATTTTTCGGGTTCTACTGTCTGATGGTATGAGAATAGCAGATGGGATTGCTACAATTTGATGGACTATTTTGTAGAACATTATTAATCTTGTGCGTAGTCTTCTTTCTTGTAGTGTTGGCCAGTTTAGTGAATTTATCATATCTGTAGGACTACTGATGCTATGGTACCTGTTACAGACATATCTGGCAGCTCGTCGTTGGACCATTTCGATTTTAGAAGTTTGTTCAACTGTGTGATGGTCCCATACTGTACATGAATATTCGAGTTTTGGTCGAACTAGCGCCAGATATGCCTGAGTCTTGATGTTCTGACATGATGTTTTTAAATTTCTTTATAGGAAGCCTTAAGATTTGTTGCCATTAGCTATGATGTTATCTGTATGAGTGTAATGCCCAGATATTAAGCTGAAGAGACCAGTTCAAGTTTGTGATTGTGGAGGATATAGTCATGTTTAAACTGGGTTTTTTTCTTTTGTGAGACTGTAAGGACTGTGCATTTGTCTGGATGGAAAGCCATCAACCAGTCCCGCTCCCACCTAGCAGCTGCATCTAAGTCCAATTGTAGTGCATCACGGTCACTTTGGGTGCAGATCTATATCTATCTATATGTTATACTCCACAGAGACCAAAATGGCTTTAATGCGGATGGGTTAAAGTACACATGCGATACTAAGCTTCGGTTAATCCCATTTGGTAGGGATTGATGCTTTAAATGCCTCTGTTTCCTTGCGCCCAGGTGGTTCCAATCTGTGAATTTATGATTTGAGTTACTCAATGAATGTATAATATGTCCTTCAATGCTATCTAGAAGATACATAAAGAATTGATTGAGCGAAAACTTGAAATACGTAGGAAATATACAAGTAAAAATACATCCAGTTGACAAATGAAAATTATATACTTGCATTTACATCATCACTATATCTCGTATACATTATGTATAATCATTGAGCGGGCGGCATGTTTTTTGACCGAAAGTCAATTTAAATCCCTCAAACATGTTAAATTACTCGGATCATCTTAGTTTAGATCCAATTATAGTTGTAAAAAATTCTCAGGTCCCTATCTTACATGAAGCAGAAAATTTCAAACTAAGAAAGTACGCAATTTCAGGTTGAAAGGGACTGAACGTAGATGTTCAGCAGATGGCTGACTGAGACAGCGACAAAGTCGAAGTTCTAGCCCGATTCTTTACGCAGGAACCGGCCACAACGAAAATTATAAGAGTTGGAGAAATTTTAGAAAAATGTCTGTTATTCGTATGTTGTTGAAAAACTACTAAGAAAAACCAATGAAAATTAATCACTGGGACCAGACATGATGACGTCATGCACTCAGAAGTTCTAAAGAACTGATAAATAATATAAGTACACATTTGGTCGATATATTCAACAGGGCTTTAGCAGAAGGAAAACGTCAACTAGCATGAATGAGGCAAATATAATGGTGATACTTGAAAATAGGGGCGGGGGGTTCAAGGTTTAACCCGGGAAATTGCAGTCCGTAAACTTAATGACTATCATTAATATTGGTAAGACACTGGATAAGCTGGAAAGGAATATGTTCGGCTTCATCTCTGGCAGGTCCACTCAACTCCAACTTCTAACGGTACAAAGTGTCATTCATATGAAAAAACTAGATCTTAGCCCTTCATATCGGCAAGTTACTGACATTATATCATACTGTTAGGCCTCCTGGTTATTCATTAGGAGGTTGGGTTTTTTTTCATTCATTTGACCCCTGTGGCATTGAAAGTAAGCTGCCAAAGTCATTCGTTTTGACAACCTCTCGGTATGCCATCTAAATGCCAAATATCAACGTCCTCTGCCTATTAATTATTAATAAGAAGTCTTTTAAGGCTTTTAAACATCAGACCCTATGACCTTGAGAATTAGTCAAGGTCATTAATTATATATTACACAATAGTCAATATATATAACATGGCAGTCAGTATATATAACACGGTAGTCAGTATATATCTCGGTAGTCAGTATATATAACACGGTGGTCAGTATATATAACACAATAGTCAGTATATATAACACAATAGACACTATATATAACACAATAGTCAATATATATAACATGGTAGTCAGTATATATAACTCGGTAGTCAGTATATATAACTCGGTAGTCAGTATATATAACACGTTGGTCAGTATTAATAACACAATAGTCAGTATATATAACACAATAGTCAGTATATGTAACACGATAGTCAGTATATATAACACGGTAGTCAGTATATATAAGACAATAGTCAGTATATATAATACAATAGTCAGTATATATAACACGGTAGTCAGTATATATAACACGGTTGTCAGTATATATAACACAATAGTCAGTATATATAACACAATAGTCAGTATATATAACACGGTTGTCTATAACACAATAGTCAGTATATATAACACGGTAGTCAGTATATATAACTCGGTAGTCAGTATATATATCACGGTTGTCAGTATATATAACACGGTAGTCAGTATATATAACACGGTGGTCAGTATAAATAACTCGGTAGTTAATGTTAAAAACTCCCCTATGGTATAACAAAGATATTCAAGTGGGTAATAATTTTATTTTTTATCGAAATTGGTTTGAGGCAGGAATATTTACAGTGAATGACCTGGTTAAAAATTCTGACAGCTTGACTTTCTATTCACTTGAGGAGTTCCAGTTTAATTTCCATATCCATACAAACTTTCTTCAGTACCAAGGGCTAGTCTCAGCTGTCAAGCATTTAGTTAGGAAATTTGACTCTCAGATAGCTATAGAAAGACCTTTCCAACCTTTTATACCTCTTCTCCTTGAAAAAAAATTTAAGAGTAGAAAAGGGGTTAAAGATTTTTATAACTATATTATTGCTCCAGATTCAACACCTACAGGGATCAATAAATGGAAACATGAATTTGACTTTGATAATGAAAAATGGACAAAAAATTTCATGATTCCTTTTACAGTAACAAAAAGTGCAAAATTACAGTTGTTCCAAGTCAGAATTTTACATCACATTTTGGCAACAAACACCTTTCTGTTTAAAATTAACTTAACCCCTAGTCTGTTATGTACTTTGTGTAATATAGAACATGAAACAAAAATTCATTGTCTTTGGTAATGTCGAGAAGTGCAGAAATTACTGCAGAGATTTGAAACTCTGCTGGATCTATTTTTTATCCCGTTTTCATTTAATAAGGAATCCTTCCTTTTTGGAATAGTTTCACACCTTTCCAGCTTTGTTGATAATGAAATTTGAATTCTTATCAAGCATTATATATACAAGACTAGATGTCTCTGCAAATCTTTAAATCTCAATGCACTAATTAATGTTATAAAAGATCATTTCATTGTCTAAAACTATATTAATAACGTTAAAAGTGAGCATGTCAAAATGAAATTTGAAACAGGTTGGAGAAAATGGAAACCTATTATAGATATATAGCTGTTTTGTTAATTTATTTTTCCTGTGTTTTAATTTATTTTTTGTATACAGTATATATCCAAGGCCTCAGCAGTTTCTGATTAAGTCACTGGCTACT